GATGGTTGTCAAACTTCATTCTTGTCACTGCAATAAACGCTTCTGCAAGCAATTCCATGTTGTGATGTGTTATGTGTGTCAGACTATCATTCAACAATTCTACAATTAATTTAGCAGACGCTTTTATCCAAAGTGACTTACTGTACATCAGAGAGTAAGTTCAACAAGTAAGGATCTAGAGAGGAGGAAACAACATCAGTAAGTGCAAACAAACAGCTTTAAGTCTGATCGGACCATAGACTGTAAATATTACTGGACGAACCCTGACCCGTCTGTTAGATAGGCAGAAAATGAGTCCAATCGACGTCAGCAGTCCACTTGACAGCATAGCTAACAGCTAGGCTGCTATCATCAACTATTCCTGCTCGTCCTGAGAAAACTCTACAAACAGTAAGTTAACATTTAACTTTTCTACAACAGTTAAAACTAATTATATTCAACCCAAATATGTAATTAAAGTCTTAAAACTACACTTTTTTAAATATACAACTATGATTATTAGTTATTTGTCAGAGCAGTTAGACTTTGTCAGTGTTAGCAGAGAAATACATTCACAAAGTTTTATCCATAAACTGTAAATAAATATGAGACATCCAGAAGAAATCAATATTACAAAGCATACAGTTCATGTTACTGTTCTGACAAAAAGAGGAATGTCTGAGTCTTATATTTACTGATGTCTTCAGCGATGAGGTGAACATGACAATTGAAAAATAATTATTTAGTATTTATTATAAGACATTTGTTTTCTATTGAACCTGTGAAGTCATGGAGTCTGTGGACAGTGTCAGCTTCACACCAAAAACTTTAAGTATTAGAAAAAATAATGTTTAAGACTGGCATCTATTATGATGAGTTGCAGCTACCTTGTTCAATATTATTCCTTCAGATGTGGCTCATAACAAAAAAACAGCCTGAGCTGTCACATGTAGTTAACTGTACATGTTGTCTGAGGCATTAATTGAACACCTTTGTATTTCTCCTATAGACACAGTGTGGATTATTGGGGACTTGTCCGTCGAGGTGCCCAGAGAGAAACCTGAGCCTCAACAACATGAGATGAGATGAGATTCAACTTTATTGTCATTACACATATACAAGTATAGAGTAACGAAATGAGGTTTGGCATCTCACCAGAAGTGCAAATAAGCAGAAAGTGCAAGAGTCTGTGCTATGTACAGTAATTCTGTGCTATGTACAGTAATTCTGTGCTATGTACAGTAATTGCAAAATTTACAGATGTAGACAAAAAAAGTGAATTATGAGGTAAATCTGGATGGCTGGATTAATGGGATGCAATAAATATAAATAAATGCTATAAATAAGTAATGCTACAAAATAAGTGTGTTTTTAGGATTATAATATACAGATTAAGGTGCAGTGAGCATGCTATACTAGTTTACAGATAATATAAAGAAAAGAATATGGACATAATATGAACATACTATAATACAATAATACAGATGGATGAGAGATGTGTGTGTGTGACCAGGAGGAGTGGTGGGGGGATGCTGGGTGTGAGGTGATATGGAGGGGAAAGGGGGGGGTCAGCAGGGGGCGGAGAGAGAGAGGGAGAGAGAGAGAGAGAGGGAGAGAGAGAGAGAGACAGAGTTCAGAGTTCGGGGGGGTAGAGTTCAGTAGAGAAACAGCTCTGGGGAAAAAGCTGTTCCTCAGTCTGCTGGTTCTGGTCCGGAGGCTTCTGAAGCGCCTGCCGGAGGGCAGGAGGGTAAACAGTCTGTGGGCAGGGTGGGAGGAGTCTTTAAGGATGCCACGAGCTCGCCGCAGACAGCGTGTTCTTTGGACATCCTCAATGGCAGAAAGTGGACACCTTGTGATACGCTGGGCGGTTTTTACCACCCGCTGTAGCGCCTTACGGTCTGCGACAGAGCAGTTTCCGTACCAGACTGAGACACTGCTGGTCAGGATGCTCTCGATCACACAGCGGTAGAAGTTCTTCAGTACAGCTGAAGACAGGTGGTGTCTCTTCAGTGTCCTCAGGAAAAAGAGGCGTTGATGAGCCTTCTTAACCAGACTGGAGGTGTTAGTGGACCAGGAGAGGTCCTCTGTGATGTGGGTCCCCAGGAACTTGAAGCTGGAGACACGTTCAACAGCCATCCCGTTGATGTGAATGGGGTTGTGCGTGCTTCCTCTTTCTCTCCTGAAGTCCACGATGATCTCCTTCGTCTTGCTGGTGTTGAGGAGCAGGTTGTTGTCAGCACACCAGGCGGCCAGATGCTGTACCTCCTCCCTGTAGGCCGTGTCATCGTTGTTGCTGATGAGGCCAATCACCGCCGTATCGTCCGCAAACTTGATGATGGTGTTGGATCCATGTACAGGTCTGCAGTCGTGGGTGAAGAGGGAGTAGAGGAATGGGCTCAGCACACAGCCCTGTGGTACGCCTGTGTTGAGTGTGATGGTGGTGGAGCAGGTGTGTCCTGACCTAACATACTGGGGTCTGTTGGTCAGAAAGTCCATTATCCAGTGACGGAGGGAGGTGTTGAAGCCCAGGTCTCCGAGTTTAGTGTTTAACTTGGAGGGGATGACAGAGTTGAATGCTGAGCTAAAATCAACAAACAGCATTCGTGCATATGTGTTGTTATTGTCCAGATGAGTGAGCACAGAGTGCAGCGCAGTGGAGACTGCATCCTCTGTACTCCTATTGCTGCGGTAGGCAAACTGGAATGGGTCCAGTGTGGGTGGGAGGCAGTTTTTCAGGTGTGCTAGGACCAGTCGCTCAAAGCACTTCATTATGATGGGTGTGAGTGCCACAGGGCGGTAGTCGTTCAGGCCTGTCGGGCTGGAGTGTTTCGGCACTGGGACAATGGAGGTGGCTTTGAAGCATGCTGGCACAGCTGCTTGGGCGAGGGACAGGTTGAAGATGTCCGTAAAAACCCCAGTGAGCTGCTCCGCACATGCTCTAAGCACGCGCCCGGGGGTGCCGTCTGGACCAGCAGCCTTTCGAGCGTTTCGAACATCTGTATTTGTTGGTTCTTCTGGGGTGGACTTCAGTTTCTTCTCTTCAACAGCTCGCTGTGAGGGAGGTCTCCCCCGGATGGCCTGAGTGATGTCACCCACAGGCTGAGAGCTGAGACAGGTTTTAAACCTCCTCACAAACCGTTACACCGCGCCCGCCTGTCAAGCTGGTCAGCTACACGCCTTATTGTGAATAACTCTTATCCTTCATCAAATCAAAACTGATGAGTCATCAAAACATTCACCCCCCGTACAGTGTGTGTCCATGGAGACATGAGCTAATCACACCTATTTGTTTGTTTTGTACCAAGCTGTAAACATGTTCATCTCTGCTGTAAAAACAGACTTTTTTTAATGTTGTTTTTCAGATTAAATAAATATTTCTATATAAATGCACTCCTTTATGTCTACTTATGAGTATACATTTCAGATTTGAAATGACAAGACTAAAATGTGCATTAATGCTCAACTCAATAGCTTAGGGAAGGAAGTCTATTTTTACACAACTTTTTATTCTTTTGATAAATACTAATGTAGTTCATTTCTGAAAGTGGGATGGAACAGAGTCATTGCAAAAATATGCCCTTAAACACAGCCCCATTCTTAAATCAAGATACATGGAGAGTAAATAAGATCAATAACTTGTGAATAAAAACAGTTCAAAATGATTTAGAAATGTAGACTTATCAGATCAATATCACATAATATCAACTTCTCCCATCTAAACTGGACAAAGGGTTTAAAATAGGAAGAAAATAGTTTGATTGCAAGTTGTTTGGAGGAGATCTAGTTTTATTTGAACAGCTGAAGCATGAATACAGTCTTCCAAGGTGCAAACCCTCCTCCTCCTCCTGAAGCCTGTGGAGCTCCTTCATGTACTGCTGTCTTATCTGCTGGCCATCTTCTCTCACCAGAACTTCAACTGTTGAAAAGTCATTCAGAAGAAGCTTGAACATGTGACATGGATCCAGGAGAACATGGACTTTTAGTGAGGGGTCTTCAGGATGGCAAAGAAAGAGAGAAAATATCAGTTATTCATTAAATCATTTTTTTGTTCTCATCTATTTTTCTGTATTCATCTGTGTGTAAGAGCACATTTATAAATTCAACAGTGTACTACCCAGACAACAGAGGTCCAGTATTCAGGTCATCAACATCTATTCAAAGTTAAGAAGATAAACATTATTGTAATCATGCTGTTTTCAGCTCTCTCACTCACACAACGATATTCCACATCAAATGGTCTCAGATTTTGTGTGAGGAAAAATTTGAGCAGATTAAGCAGTGTACGTGATTATAACAGATGTCTCTTTTATGGTGAAACAGCAAACGGCATGCCAAAATTTGACCAGAATTTGTACTTCAGCACATTCTACATTGGATTTGTAAGACAGAATCTATAACATTTCCTAAGCACTGTTGGGGAACGAGGGCCCTGACCTTTGAAAATGCTTCCATGTTAGCTTTTAGATCTATATTTCTGCCAATTGAACTTTGAACTAAGATTAGAGTTCCTGTTCAGTCAGCCCAATTATTGATTTTGAGCCAAAGTATAAAGACTTGGGGGCCAGCATTTGGGGGAATTACATATCCAACCCCTCTGCTCAGATTTTCTCTACCTTTGCAGCGGCACAGAGAGTACTACAGACTTTCATATCTTCCTCTCTGGCTGAATTAATTAAGAAGTACTTTGTCTTGTTTTCTGCAGGTCAGTGGGACAACATGAGACTTTCACTGGGCTTTTTACTTATTGCCATCTCCATTGTGTTGGCAGGTACTTGTTTTCCTTTCCCTCTAAGGACAATTTCTGAACCGCATTGACATTTTCACACTTTGAATTGAATTTGGGTTGAATCATTTGTACCCATTGCGATGCAAACATCCTGAAAAAAGGGACAACTTTCTGAGAGACATTAGCCTGACATTTGAATCATTTCAAACCTTAGATTGATTCGTATTGTTCAGAATCAGAATGTACAGAAACTATCTCAGCAGGTCTGTATCTCTCTGTCTCTCCTACTCATTGACCTCAAACATTTGTCTTCTGTTTCCTATATTTTTTCTCAGGGAGTGTCACCATCAAGACCGTGGTGTTCCCAGGTGAGTCGAGCAACACTTATGTTGAGATGGTCCCTCAGAAACCTCTGAACCTGAGGGCTTTCACTCTGTGCATGCGTATGGCCACGGAGCTCACTGGGAGGCGTGAAATCATCCTCTTTGCCTACCGGACCAGAGACTTCGATGAGCTGAATGTATGGCGAGAGCTGGACGGCAGGTAGACACTCCGCAAGTGACTACAGTATACTGTAAAGGTCAAAATTCTGACTTTAGAGTCGCTGCCTATTGAAAGCATGAATATGATTAACTGGCTCTGAAAGATGCATGCTAATTACCTTTATTTATTTGTGTTCAGATTGTCTTTCTACCTGAGCGGAGAAGCAGTTTTCTTCAAAGTCCCTGAGCTCGGGCCACTGGAGACCCACCTGTGCTTCACCTGGGATTCCGGATCAGGTGCGGCTACCCTCTTCATGGACGGGAGGAGAAGTTCGACTAAAATCTACAAGAAAGGTCACGCTGTGCGCAGCGGTGGAAAGGTTATCCTCGGACAAGATCCAGATTCTTATTTGGGTGATTTTGATGCCAATCAGAGCTTTGTCGGGGAGATCTGTGATGTGAACATGTGGGACTCTGTCCTCTCAGACAGCACGATCCGAGACATGTCCTCCATGAATAGAGTGCCCAGGGGAAATGTCTTTGACTGGGAAAGTACAGAGCTTAAAGTTAATGGGAATCTGGAGGTTGTAAATCGAGAGCTTTAGGCTCTGACTCTGAATGCCTTAACGAGGGTAGTGTCAAGGAACATGATTTACTTTTCTCTGAAATAAAAAACTTGACCTCACAATGCCTGTTTTATGTGCAACTTCACTACATCGTGGAGGTCAACATAAACTTTTTTTTACTCACCATATTTGTCTCACCAAAGTCTATCATATACGATATTAAATAATGCAGTAATCAAACTGTATTGTGGGCTCGTGTTTTTTTGTATGGGTGGGATATGTTTGTATATATGTGTTGTGTTGTGTGTTTGTATGTATGCTGGCTGCTGGAACACCTAAATTTCCCTGCTGGGATGAATAAAGTATATCTTATCTGAAATTAAAAGTACATCCATGTCTTTAATTTTAGATTTAAACTGTGTAATTAGCTCACGGAATAGGTAGGCTACCATTTATTCAACTGTTGTGCCATCGGTCTTAATTGTGCTGATATTGCATGTTAGAAAAGAAATATGACACACAGGTCTGTTGACAGGCACGGACGGGGTTCGAACCCGCGATCTTCGGTTTACGAGACCGACGCCTTACCACTTGGCCACCGCGCCTGGCAGTACGAAAGGGGCGGATTCTGAGTATATAAAGGCATTTAGAAAGAAATTAAACAGCTGATATATTAACAAGCGTTCATAACCCCTTTTAAAACATTTCCCCTCTCCTGAAAACCGATCATATTTACGCATTCCAAACACCATTTGAATTTGTAAAGATTTTAAGTTCCTATGAGTGAACGGATTGATACCACTATCAAATAAGTGGAGACGATTTGAAATTCATGCACAAGTACTTAAAAACAAATTTTGCAAAATCCCAAACACCTAAAATCATGATTCAGCAAACTTTGTAAGGGTTTCCCGTATGCTCTCCTTGTAGTTTCTTTCCTACGCCTCATCGTACAACAAACAGGAACTTGATGAGATTTTGAACAGTTAACACTAAATATACATGTAAACACCTTTTACCACCGGCGCCGAATAGACCGACAGACTGTCCTTATCTAACATACAACGATTGTGTTGTGTTTTATTTTATGTATATTTCGTGGGGGCATGAAATTATTAAAAACGTCAAATGTGTAAGTGAAGTCTGGAATGCTTCGCTGCTGCGCGGAGGGAATCATTATCGAGGACACACCCGGTGTTATCGCGAGATGTGCTACCTTGTTGGAAAATGTCACCAGAGTGCGAAAAGACAGCAGACGCTTTCCGTGTCCACTATCATAGAACGCAACCAGAAGAAAATACCATTATATGAATGTATACGGATTGTCAGAGTGTGGGGAGCATGGCTGGACACTCTCGTTTTTAAGATTTCATATAACCTTTATTTAAGATATTGGCGAAAGCATTCTCGGCGACCTCGTCATTCGTGGTAGCACATCTCGATGGGTAGCACTATTCGACATAACACCCGGAAGTAGCTAAAGTAGGTGACAGCGGCTGGGTTTCAATCTTTTCCGGGGGACATGTTGCTTGCAAATGAAATATGAAGATCTTCGTATGCAGTCCTTGTGAGTGTCAGTAGTAGCAGATGCTGTAAGTAAAATTATATCGGGGGGAAAACCAGGGCTAACGTGACAAGCAGAAACAAGCATGTATGTCAGCTATCGCGTTAGCTAGCCTGCTATCAGATGAGCTCAGTATTTATCTTCATTTAAAAGTAATAATGACGACTTAAATAGCTGTCTATGTTTTTTTGTTTTTTTGACCAATCAAATTTGCGGATTAGCATTACAGCAGACCTCGTTACGCTGCTGCAAATTAAAAAAACAAACATTTAAACTTAATAAAAAGCATCAACATTCATGCTAACTCAGATTAATCTTGAAGAAATCCTCCTTCAGATTATTAAATGTATTTACCACTGAAGTGGCCGTTATATGGCAGGCTTTAGTTCAGTACATTAAATAACATATTCTTGTTAATATCATGTGTCAGAAACTCTGATTATTGCTGATTACATTGAATGCACACATCTCAAAACAAGACAGAGATGTGAGTAATTGGAGGTCTAACTTATTGCATTTGAATCATTAATTTTCATGCATTCAAAAGGTTTTTGTTTTTTTGACCTAATGGTCTTCCTTAGGTGATACTTTTTTTTGTACAGATTTGAATGTTGTCTCCTTCTACAAGACAGGAAGCCAAAGAATTCAACCACATTTCTGTCACTTTAGTAAATACTCCTGAGCGTAAGGGTTGTCACAATACCAGAGTTTTAAACTTCTTCAATAACCAGTAAAAAGCAAAAGATACTGATACCTGTGTGGAAGTCCTACACTCTGATTATTGCATTATTTCTTGTGTTTAATTACCACAAATTGCAAGCAAACAAGAGCCAGCTCTTTCATGAATACCTACTAACTTAATGATGATGGTCTCCATATTATTGATGATGATGATGGTAATGACGATGGTTTTTGTTTGATAACGACGACTTATAAGATGGTTTCTATACTGATTAGAGCTCTCAAGAACTGCCCTCAATGTTGTGCTTTGCCTCTGGTCACTTCCTGTCAGCACCTGTGTGTCCAATCAGACTCAAAGCTGATCGTTTGCTCTTACTGACTTTGTTCCCTTTTTTCTAGATCCTTGCTTGTGTTGTTCTTACTCTCTGATGTACGTCGCTTTGGATAAAAGCGTCTGCTCAGTGAATTGTAGAAAACACCTGTTGTCTACTTTGCACAAAAAAAAACCATGTTGCCAATGTTTTTGTGCCTTGTTCTGTGTTCTTGTACCAGTCTTTGACAGAGTCCGTCTGACCTGCAGCTGAGCCCACCCCCCCCTTCGCCTACTTCGCCATGCCTCTAGTGGTGGACGCTGTGTGGGCGATTTGGAGCATTGGCGCTGGCGTCTACGACTACTTCCACACCAGTGCCATGGAGGAGAGGATCCACACGCTGGAAAACGTCCTCTCCATCCACCAGTTTGTGATCGCCGGTCTGTCTGCAGGCCTCATCCTCCTCATGACCTACATACTGTGGAGAAAACACTGAAAATCCCCCACGGACCAGGCCCAAGCACCGACTTGATGTTGCTTTGTCGCTGGACATCCCACATTGTCACGGGCAGTTTCCATCCTCATATCAGCCGGGGGGGGGGGAGAGTTTGAATTATGTTGACTCCTCACACTTCAAAGATGTCCCAGATGAAGTACGGAGCACTGATGGGCAACTTAACTCGGCGTGGACTCCTCCCAACATGCAGTCTCCATCCGGTTCTCTTGGGATAGCGGGTGCTTGGCCTGTTTAACTATCTGTCTGTGTTTTGTATGTTTATCAGTCTGAGTAACACTTTTACAAAACCATAGCGGCTTCTGAAGGCACCTTTGCACTTTCCCATTCATGGCTGAGCTTTAACGACCTCATCGTCTAAAGAGAACCTCACTTTGTTTAACATCCGCCCCCTTGTGTGATGAGGGACGAGAAAGTTTAGTCATTTTTCTGTCACTACAACTTCAACAAGTTAGTAACTTTTGATTTATTTTAGAAACTATGTAAAACTATGGTTGTTAACTTTTTTTTTTTCCTGTGATCTAAACACAACAACATAATGGCCTCAAGTCTGATCCATGGTTTTTCTCATGTTTACAAATGGCTTGTTCTCTTTGCTTATATTATCTGTTTTTGTTTGTGCATATTGATACCTATAGGAGCGTTTACTCAGAGTTAATGAGGTAATTATCATTCCGTCCTAACATTGCATCATCATCAAATCGACTTTATTGCTCTTTCTTGAGAATATAAACGGTGGTATTTGCCTCTTTACGTACTGGCTGAGTTGAACAATCTTTAAGTTGAGAAACACATCGGATAGTGTGCTTGGTACTCGTTATTGTGTGAAGAAAACTTGCACATCAGAGGACTTCACTTCATCGCCCAAAGACAATGCATCAGTGTTCAGTCTTGATCTCTGGTATTTAAGGGTGATTAAACACTTGTCACACTCAGTTTGTAGACTTAATTTAAGATACAAGGAAGCCTCAGTTTATTTTGTGGGCTTTCCCACGATGAGATCGAATGAACATTTTGTAAAAAAAATTGCAACATCAATTCCCCTGAAACATGTGTCATGTCAGTTTTAATGAGTTGTCCTTCGATGGGGAGCTGTTGGAGGGCCTACATAAGGACGTCAAAATGACAACCAATCCTAGCGCTACTTTTTCTGCTCTCTGGAGACTGTTTTAAAGTCTTTAAATACTTACATCAGTACATTAACTCAAACATTGGACTGTATTTTCTGTCAAATACAGTCTCAGGATATTAGCCTGTCAAACAAAATCTGATAATGAAGTGTTGATCGTGAGTAAGCAGGATTAAAAAATGTCTTCCATGCTCTTTCTGGGGATCACTTTCCACTAATTTCTTTATCTGGCTCTTGAATTTTAAAGCTCTAAATGTTAGAAATGTGTTACCTCTTGAGGAAGTTCACGGGAAGGGAATTGTCAACATGTTGCTACCCCCGATCAATGTGTGTTCAAGGTTCACTGTGGCCAAACTTGGGGTGATTACAACAAACAAAAACACTTTGAAGAAGTTGTAAAACTGGGAATGAATTCATCCTTTAAGCGTTTTTTTGTGAGTATTTTCATGCTGAGCACAAGGGATCTGAGATGGAGCTTACTGTACGCATTTAATGTTTTTTAATGTCTAATGAAAAACTGTGTGTGTGTTTAATTTGTCCAAATTTACGTCATACAAACACTGTTTACAGTCTGTAAACCGACCGCACACAAGGTTTTCTAACCAAGTGATAACAGAAATGAATGGGTCAGGGGCAGTGCTGTATCTGCTCTCCCTCTGGGGTTCATTGTGAGTGTCTACGATCCTGTATGTAACTCTGACATACCACTACCATGGCTACTGTAAAAGGGAATATGTTTGAATAATAAATCAGAGTCTAAGTCTATGCTGCTCTTTCTGCTACGTGTTTTTGTATTTAAATGATATCACAATCATCTACACGGGGGTGCTGTGAGGTAATGGGGACCCCATGAAAAGATGTCACATTGGGCCCGACCTCACAGCCCCAACCGACCCTGCACAACTGCTATAACCACACCTCCAAACCTTTATAAGATAAATAACAGTCAACTTCATACACTTTGCTAAACTTGTAATATTACCCAAGTATGTGAAAGGACTAAAACGTCCAAGGTTGCATCTGTTGCAGCTATTCTGTAGGATATCTTTTTAATTTGGCTGTGATTGGTTTTGGACCACTTGTGGAATCTGATGTTTGGTTTTTGTGTCCGCTGAGTGTCACAATGGAAATATCAGTACTATTGTGTAGGTGCCGCCATGTCTGTGCTCGTGACCTCATTACATTTTCCAGTGGTTTAGTCATGTTCAAGGCAGTAGCAAGCTCATCTTGTAGTCTTGTTATCACTTGGATCTTATTTTTATGGAAGTCTCCCTTTCAATCTTTGTTTATGCAATTTGATTATTTTTCTGCGCTTCTCTTTTTTTAAAAGATCACATTTAAAAAAAAAAGTTTTTAGAATAATTTTCACTAGACATCTGGTTATCCTAATTAATCTTAATTTTCTATTGAGATTCCTATTTGATAATACAATTCATTTCTGAATGTGAGGGAATTACAATTTTTATTAGGCTTTTTAAGTTTTTGATTTCAGGATGTATTCTTTTTTTTGGGGGGGGGGCACAGGAAATGTATTTTTATAGGTTGAAAGATATCCTTCCTTTATTGTTAACCGGTAAATGTATTTAATTGTATTGTTAAATGTTGCAGGCGGCAAAAATACATTTGAACTACACCTCCTGCTTCTAGATTTTACAACGAGGCCAGCCAAAAAAGTGTCCACCAATGAGATCACGGGGTTTCCCTCATAAGCACGCTGATTGGTTAAAGTTGTTAGAAGGCGGTATCTTTCAACACAAGCGGGGGCTGCATCATACATTCGTCAAGTCACAATGAAGACGACGAGGAGCTCAAATTAACTATGCCTTCAAAATAAAAGTATACACCCAGCAGTGAATATATTTACAGGGAATATGCGAGCAACGAAGGGAGTGTTGTAAATGTAAATTAATGTTTAATCTTCACATTACTAAAATTATGAAGGAAAAAAAACTAAGCGACCGTGGCATTTAAAGGAGTTAAAATTAAATCACAAACTATTTTGAAAATACTTTCCGGGTAACATTTGTGTTGCCAAGCGGCGCTTTCCACTACCGCTAACCCCGTCCTGCCAAGAGACGATAGGAGTAATATAGTGCGAATTTACGCGAAATTATGGCATCGACGCCTTTGAAACGTGTGCTTATTTTTTGTTGAATCACTTGTCATTCAGCGTCAACTTTCAAAGTCGTAATTACTAAAGTCAAAGAGGCAGACGATGCTAGTCAGTTAGCCCCGGGGGTTGTCGCTAGCTGGCTAAGGAAGTTAGCCGGTTAGCTAGCGAGCCGCGTCAGCTCGCCGGAGGCTGATATCTCGTTTCGCGCATTTCAAACCTGTTCACCGACCTCTGTTACGGGTTACACCGACTCCCGGGAACGAAAACGAAATATTCTACGCATGGCAACGCAACAAAGGGGAGACTTAAAGTGTATATAAGTCGCTTGTAAAATGAAGAGATAGCGTTGTTTGTGCTGCTCGGCTAGTTTTCATCTGAACGCCGCTCTTTTGTTTTGACAAAGGAAGAGGACTTGAGTTTCTCTCTTTTTTTTTTTTTAAAACATCTTTTGGATCTTTTTTCTTCATACATCTGCTTGTGGGACAGTTTAGTTTGCTTTGTTTTTGTGTCGGTAATGGCTCCACAGAAGCAGAGCCTCCCGGCGGGGTTCGGTTCTGCGGGGTACCAGCCGTCCTCCTCTGCGGCGGCTGCAGCGAAGAAGCCCAACATGCAACTCGTTCAAGCCGACCACGAGTTGTTCCTGCAGGCCTTTGAGAGTGAGTAGCTCCTCTTATTGATTTACACTTTCATCATGCATCAGAGTTTTTATTTTTAAAAAAAGGTCGAGGGGCCATTTGAGTGGTACACCCAGTGTCCCAAATACTGCACATGTTGCATTGCTGTGATTCATGCTAAAGTTTAGTCTTAAGGTTCTGATTGCATGTTTAAATAAATACAAACCTAATACATCAAATAAATAAAGTTAATTTCCACACGAACACATTTGTTTCTGTTGCTTTGCACTTGTTTGAAAGTGTACCAAACATTGCAGCACCAAAGGATTTAATGATAAATCTCTGATTTGAGATTTTACATTTCAAATATCTTTTATTGAGTTTGCATCATAGAAATACAAAAAAAAAAGAAAAGAAGAATAATAAAACATAGAAAACACCAGGCTTGGGCAGTAATATTCCACATTGCCACAAATGGTATAGAAATGTGCAGAACAAGTAAGTGGCAGTAACACCCTCCCATCCCCAGCTGGCCTGATGATTGAGATTTTAATCAAACATTTGGACTATGAAATGTATAAATTACATTTTTTTTAAGTTACCTCAGCAGCACAATTTGATGTCTTCAAATGTCTTATTTTGTCTGAGAAACTACTCTCAAGATTATAATACCTCTGTACAACAGCTCACCTCTTGCGAGCAGAGAACTGTCATCATGATAATATCTGTCTCTCCTTTACTGTAATCTGTTCTGCACATGTTACATTTACAAATGATCCCTGCACTCATGTTCACTTCATTTGTCTGTCTACTCGCCGTTATATTGAATAGTTTCTGCTGATAACATGTTTACACTCATGCACTTTAACTTATGTCAATACTGTCCATTGCACATTTACATTTAATCTTCCATATTTAATCTTCCTATTTAAGACTAGTAATGCTTAGTTAAATCCTGGTTGTATATATTCACGTTCTTAGTTGTGATATTTTTTAGTACTTATTTACTTTGTATTTAATATTATATTGTGTTTATTTGCTCATATTGTGTGTTTGGACAATCTGCTGCTGTAACGCCACAATTTCCCAGTTTGGGATCAATAAAGTAATTCTATTCTATTCTAATGTATAGCAAAGAAAGGTCAGCAAATGATATTGTAAGTTGCAAATGTATTCTGTATTGACTTTACAGATGAGTAATGTTTAAACAATCTTTGACTCTTGATAAGCTTCAAGCGTTTTGTTTGGCTAAAATTATGGTTTCTGGCTGTGAATGAATCAACAAGTAATGTGCTCATGACGTTTGTTCTCAGAGCCAACCCAGATCTACAGGTTCCTCCGCACCAGGAACTTGATCGCTGTGAGTGTCCCTCCATATGATTTACCTGCCCAAATGTATTCTTTCATGTCGGCACGTGAAAGTACAGAGTAACACTGAATGTTTATTACCTTTCAGCCCGTATTCTTGCACAGGACGCTCACCTATATGTCCCACCGAAACTCAAGGAATAACGCCAAAAGGTAAGAAAAAAACACTCTTACTGACTGAAGCTGTTCTGTGTGGATTCATGTTGGTTTTCAGCACTTCGAGAAGTTGTGTAAAAAAAATCAAATCTGGAGGTGAATGTGTTAGAAAACCTTTAAGGATTAGCAGATCATGTTTGTCTAAAGTTATCCTCCTCCCTGTGCTCCTTTTCTGATTTCTATCCTCTCAGTTTGAACTTCCATAACTGTAAGTTAAATGTAAAGCTGGTGTTGAGCAGGCTGCCTCTTAGAAAGCAGGTCAAGTGTTATGTGGAGTGAAAGTTAACCGACGTGCCGGCTGCTGTAGGCGGGGGCTTGGACGGATCAGTTCAAGCTGAGGTATGAGACGTTTTCAGTTAGGCTGCTTTGCATACAGACGTTGAACAGAATACACATGGGGGCTGCTTGTGGTTTGGTCTTCAGTTTGGTGTGATAACATTATGAAGGAGGACTGGAGCCAGGTTATGCAGTTTACTTTGTTTAAAGCTCGGGCTGCATTATCGTGTCATAAAGAGGATACTGGTGGTGATAGATCTTTTAAAACATCTACTTCACATTAAGAAGGCGCTGATAGAATATTGATTTGTATATCTCTATTATTAATAGTTTTTTATGTATTTAGATTAGTGTCTTTGTATGTTGTCTGCAGGTTTTTTGGGCAGTGTTCTGCAAACTTTTGTGTTGAAAATTTTGTTGAAATATGTCGACTTCTTCTGGTGTCAGACTCCCACAGTGCCAGTATTTCCTCTCATGTTTGACAATTAAAACAAGTTTCTTCAACAGGTGACTTCATCTACTCAATAACAAATCCTCGTCTTTGAATCAGTAGTTAGGTGTGCTAGATGTCAGCATTGATTTAATTTGGCACAGCAGATAAACGTCGACTACTGGCATCGGTTCATGCCGCATTATTTGGCCAAATATCGGCCGATGTTGAACCAATGCATTAATGCATCCCTAAAAATATAAAAGAAGTTAGCCTTAAATCAAATAAAGTACATCAAATATAAATAAAGATCTATAAAATAAAACATCATCTCCATCTTACAGTAGCAACAGTATTTCTTAATTTTCCAGATAAATGTTTCTTGTTGTAGATATTTTTCTGTTAAGTTTTTTCTGCATCACATCCCGTAAGACTCGGAAACATACAAACTGAAAATCACAGATTCAAGGAAATCAAAAGTTTTGCTTCATGTCAAATTAGACTCAAGCCTCCATCTTATTTGTTTACATTTAATAAACCAGAGACACATTTATTTCTCATAATCCAATCTATCGTCTTCAGACTATTTCTGTGAGGATTATCAATAAAGATGCTCAAGAAGTTGTAGTTTCTTTTCCCAGTCCTTATATGGTCACGTAGTCCTCAGACTGGTGCTTCCCCCTCTTCGAAATACAGAACCGTTTTGAAGACTGGCAGCCGTTATTTCATGCTTTATTCCTGATTTGAAGTGGAGGCAGCGCACCAGGAGCCCCATACTTCTGCAGCTCGGTTTCACTTTCTGCTGCACTCGTCGTGCCGCATGCTGTGGTCACATGGAACGCTGCTTGTGATTCAGGATGATAAGATGAACTCACTGCACCCCACTTTAAAGTTTCAAACTATTCACAAAACAGTCAAAAATCACACAGACAAACTAAAGGAAACTAAGAAGTTGGATGAAATACCATCAATGTTCAGGTACTCATTTAATACGAATCTGAAGCTCAAACTAGTCAGAAGGGATTAAGAGTGTGAAGAGTCAAAACCCTGACAGGTACTGGCCTTTGCCTTATGAGTGTCTACTCTCTTACTTGAAAAATATGGCCAAGATGTTGCTCCCTTCATGCACGTCGCCTCCCACTCACTCTCTCCTGGATTTCTGACTATCAATTATCCCATCCTTCAAATAAAGACATAAAAGGCTTATAAAAAAACCTTTAAAGAATTATTAAAGATACCATTAGATATTGCACGTGCTGGTTACATGAAGTGCGGTTGGATAGCAGCTGAAATGAGTTTAACAAAATGACCAGAAGCAGCAATTTAATCCTGAAGAATAATAAAAAATAATGACCATAACGTTACAGAACAATGCACCAGGGATTAATGCCGAATGCATCGTGCTGCTGGAGGTTGTTACTTGTTGCTGTGCAGTTTGATTCGCAGTGGAAGTTTCTTGTTTTTGATGTGAAGGCCCTGCACAGCCTCACAGGTGTTTTCAGTTACATGAGCTCATTAGACCTGCGCTCAGGTTGACGTCGGGACAGATTTATGTGAGTTTGTTAGTTACATGCTCTCCAAAAAAAAGCTCCAATACGATCCAGGTGTGGTATGTGCAACGCTTTCCACACACACACACACACACACACACACACACACACACACACACACACACACACACACACACACACACACACACACACACACACAAAGGAGAACATGCTGTTTGAAGTTTACACAAAACGCTGCATCTTACGGTTCATTTATAGCAGATCATGTAGTCGGTGAACTCAGTCCATTCTGGCTCTGATTTATCTCTGGATAGAAATCTGCTCATGTTCAGTGTAATCTGATATTTCTGCCTGTAGGAACCGCCTGTTTCAGTAACCCCTGCTGTTTGTGTGCATGTGCAGGAAAAGCTCCAAGGTTGACAATCTGCTGTTCAAAGTGGAGAAGATGAGAGGAGAACCGGAGACTCACAGGTAAACCGTCGGCCCGCTGATTTCCACTGAAACCATCTCTTACTGGGATTTAGAGATGAACCAACCATGTGTGTTTTTGTTTTCCGCAGCTTAGCCTCTAATCTGCAGCTCACCTTCACCGGCTTCTTTCATAAAGATGGTAACTTTAATCTCCTCGGCGCCGTTTTCTTTTTTTCGATCAAGCCTTTGAACTGACTCAGGAACGTTTCTGTCCCTCTTTGTGTCGTGGTTCTCTCAGGGAAGCCGTCTCAGGACTGTGAGAACGAGCAGAACTCTGTTTCTCTGGAGGTGCTGCTGGTGAAAGTTTGTCACAAGAAGAGGAAGGTGAGTGTGATGAGTATGTGGGAGAAAAAAAACAAAAAGAGGTAGTGTATCAGACTTTTTATGTAAAACTTTTAACCACACACATCTCCTCCTGCCGCCCCGTTCAGGATGTGAGCTGCCCGGTGAAGCAGGTCCCCACAGGGAAGAAGCAGGTCCCCCTGAACCCAGACACAAGAGCTGGAGTCCAGGCCAAGCCGGGCTCCTTCCCCTCCCTGCTGGTTCCGAGCAGCGAGTTTGAACCCAGCAACTCTCACATGGTCAAGTCCTACTCGCTGCTCTTCAGGGTGTCGAGGCCAGGGTGCTCCTGGACGCAGAGCAACGGCCTGACCAACGGAGAGAATCACCACAACAGAGGTGAGAAGACGACATTTTATCTGCTACAAAATATCAACACAGCAGTATAACCCCGTCCTGACTTATTGAATCACAGGTACCAAATATAAATATTTTAATTAAGAGAGAACAGGGCGCTCTAAACAGATTCCCCTTCCAGTTAGACTAAGTCACCACTTCATGGCTCTCATGGGGTCACTTATTTCATGAATGAGGGTAAAGTTACCATAAGTCAAACCGCTAGAAAAAGAACTGGACAGGGGAATAAAATCAGCAAGATGATGTCAGACAGCAGTGAAAAAATTAAAGAGAAGAAGTGTGAAAAGAGGGGAAACTGACACTGGGTTAAATAAAATACATGAATCCTGCACGCTACCTTTTTAAGGTGTTTTCTATTCTTCAGTTAATCAGATATGGTGACATCTTTGAATGGTAGTTTTGAGAGACACAGGAGTTTTAAGTGATGAGGTAACCACATTTTTTAATGTGGTTATTGTTTCTGCAAAGAGACATGTTGGAAAAACGACCTCATTGTTTGTCCACCGGCAGAGATCTGGGTCGTGGTAAAGAGAAATAGAATACTTCAAAAATTCTTTCATAAACTCTCATCACAATATTCTGATTTGTAAGCTGCGATCTGTGAGTACAGCGATGTCACAGCTGGTAGAAATGATGCCAAAACTGCAAAATAATAAAAATATTAATACTACTCTGATCAAGCCGTGTTAAACGCGGTGTGTGGTTAATAACGGCTACATTGTGTCCTCATGTGTCTCTTACAGATTTTACAGAGGAAGTGATCAACAGGAAAAGGAGGAGCTCCTCTCTCAGGGACGAGGGAGAAACCACATTTGTGGCCCAGATGACAGTCTTTGATAAAAACAGGTGAAACTCACATACACACATGTCCTATCCTATCCTTTCTGTGACATTCTTCAGTGTGTGCACAGATACAGAAGGACAATTACAAACTGATATATCTTTGCTGCAGAACATTATGTTGTAATTTACCTCATAATGTTGTGAAACATTCTGTCTGTGTGCAGACGTCTGCAGTTGTTGGATGGGGAGTACGAGGTGTCTATGCAAGAGATGGAGGAGTGTCCAGTCAATAAGAAGAGGGCGACCTGGGAGACCATCCTGGATGGAAAGGTGTGTTCCAGACTTACCTGTTTAAAGCATGAAGCAGGAAGCAGCTGGTGAAATCCTGGTGTCTTGTACATCTGAGATTATATGACAGTACACAGAAGGTTTTCTTCTTCTTCTAATTGAATCAGTCCAAGATACACATTTGATTTTTTTAAGAATCTGTGACCTTTTAATGCCCCTAAAAGATCTTCTCTAAACATTTTCCTTTCTTTATTAGACTCAAAAAGGTCTAAAAAATGTAAACGAGTATGAATATTTTGATCAAATATCAGATACACTGAAAGCCGGATAAACTTGTTAAGAATCCTTTTGTTGCAGAAGCACTAGAACAATAATACAAACTAATGTAATAATAATAAAACTTCAGAATGAGTATAGCTATAATCGATCTATTTAAGATCCTTGCTCGACACAGAAGCAAATCAAATGTAGAAAAGCAAAAATTTTGGATATTCAAATATAATCAAAACATTTCATAAAACAGATGAATTTGTATTGCTGCCCTTTATTTGGATCTTAATTAGCTGTTGTTCATGTTCACAACAAGGCGTTACAGCTAGCTCCGTGTAACATGTTGCTCCTGTGTTTTTGCAGCGTCTGCCTCCGTTCGAGAGCTTCTCTCAGGGTCCCACCCTCCAGTTCACGCTGCGCTGGACCACCGACTCCTCCGACCGCTCCACGGCCCCCGTGGCTAAACCTCTGGCCACCCGCAACTCTGAGACCAACCAGGACAGCAGACCCAGCACCCTGAGAGCCACGCAAACAAACGGTGAGTCCACACAGCAGCACCAAGAGGGAAAAAAACCAAATATTCAGCACCAGACAAACTGACGAGGGGTCGGGGGTGTTTTTCCTTTTTTGTGCTGCAGATGTTAAAGAAACCGTAAACACCGACGTGCAAACCAGGAGAGAACTCATCTCAGCGGATCCACGGCAGAAACTACGCATCTTCTACCAGGTCTGATCCTGGATCTGCCTCGTGCACATCATGTTAGCTTAAGTCATGAGAAGTTACAGTGAGCCAGGGACATTTTATTTAGAGGGTACTTCATGTCGTGTCTGTTTTACCCGTTCAGTTCCAGTACAACCACAACACGCGGCAGCAGACCGAGGCCAGGGACGACCTCCACTGTCCGTGGTGCACGCTGAACTGCAGGAAGCTCTACAGTCTGATCAAACACCTCAAGCTGTCTCACTCCCGCTTCATCTTCAACTACGTGGTGAGACACACTCCCATCTTGTGTGTGTGCAGAGAGCGCCATTGTTGTGATTGTTGTTCACACCTCGCTCTCCCGTTCTGTGTCAGCCTCATCCTAAAGGAGCCAAGATCGAGGTCTCCATCAACGAGAGTTACGACGGATCGTACGCAGGAAACCCTCAGGACATCCACAACCAGCCGGGCTTCGCCTTCAGCAGGAACGGCCCGGTGAAGAGGACGGCGGTCACGCATGTTCTCACCTGCAGGTACGGCAAACATTTCCTATTTCTGCTTTTATTCTTCAACCTTCAATTACCTGTCAGTAATCCCAGATAAAAGTGGCAACATCTCAGAGTCGTTCAGGGTGGAAATCTCTTTTTTCTTTTTTCTTTTACATCCTGTAACGAACCGCTTTTTGTAATTGTCCTTCTGTTCAGAGCCAAGAGGACGAAGCCGAGTCTGTCTGAGTTTCTGGAGTCGGAGGACGGCGATCAGGAGCAGCAGAGGACGCTCATCAGCGGCCACAATCGCCTCTACTTCCACAGCGACAGCTGCGTGCCGCTGCGGCCTCAGGAGATGGAGGTGGACAGCGAGGACGAGGGAGAGCCCGACTGGCTCCAAGAGAAGACGACTAAGGTGAGTTTAAAGACGAGGACAAACCCACTTCATTCTACACATCATGTGTAGTTCATTTGCTCTACCTTACTCTGATGGGGTTTTTAAGATTTCTTTTTGGGCTTTTTTGCCTTTAATTGTAGAGATGGGAGAGTGGATAGAGCTGGAAATCAGGGAGAGAGAGTAGGAATGACATGCGGGAAAGGAGCCACAGGTTGGATTTGAACCTGGGCCGCCCGCTTTGAGGACTACAGCCTTTTATCGATCTGTTTTTCCCGTTTTTATCTCACTTTATTATCTGTCTTGTAACTGACTCTGTGTCATTGTAAATAAAGGTTGCCCCTCAACGATCTCTCGAGTACCAATGAAAGTCGATCGATAACGTTTCCGCTCTCTCTGCAGCAAATCGAGGAGTTCACCGACGTCAACGAGGGGGAGAAGGAGATCATGAAGCTGTGGAACCTCCACGTCATGAAGCACAGGTGTGTATCAAGCAGACATGAGGTCCAACTAGATTGTTCCCTCTTCTTATCAATCTGCACTTGATAAGCTGATGTTTGAGAGTTAGCAGCCTTAGAAACTGACCGGACACCTGCTGTGTCTTTTCATATAAAACACGCTGAATGTGAAGGACATTTCTCTGGCTTCTCAACAGCCATGATTCAATAATGCCTTTTTTTTAAAAGATCTTTTGCGTTCATGTGTTAAACTTCCTCCTCCCTCTTTTCTTCCAGCTTCATAGCCGACAACCAGATGAACCACGCCTGCCTGGTGTTTGCCGATCATTACGGCGAACACATCGTCAAACACGACCTCTGCCGCAACTTCCTGCTGCACATGGTCAGCATGCACGACTTCAACCTGGTCAGCACGCTCACCATCGACCGGGCCATGGCCAGACTCCGCCTCCTCAGCAGCCAGAGAGACACGCACAGAGGGGAGGACGAGGGAGAGGAAGAGGAGGAGGAGGAGGACTGGGAGACGGCTGTGGAGTCGCAGCCCGAGCCCGATCCAGATCCAGATCCAGATCTCGATCCGGCAGAGTACAAACCCTGCAGCAAAGAGACTAATCAGGGCTGCTTGAAGACCGGAAACCAGCATCAGGAGGAGAAGGAGGAGGGAGGAGCTGCGACCAGCAGGCCCATAACTGAACGGAAACGCTCTCAATCTGATTCGGATTCTAAAATGCTAAATGTTAAGTCGGAAGATCCGTGAGCAGGACTTTTTGATCTAGAAAACAGAGCTGGGAGTCATGAATCTACGGTCTACATCTCTGCAGGGATTTTAATTTGAAGGGCAGAAACACGATGATGTCGCTAGTTTTCTTTTTTTTCTTTTTTTTTTTTTACAAATTTACATCAAGAGAGGCTTCAGAGGCATTTCTCAAAATTTCAAATCTGGAAAGAATTAGAAAAAACTGAAGCGAAATCTTTAAATCTTTGTAATTTTCTTTGTATTGTGTTCTAGATATAACCGGGTCAAAACTCCTGTTACCACATCCGTTCCTCTTTGAGGTCAACCCATCAGGTTATTAACGACCAACATTACAGGACAAATCCAGAATCAGTTCAGCTTTCAGTCTGGGGACGGATTTGCAGACAGCTGTGTTTTTAACTTTATCCGACATGGGATCCAAAAAGTTTATTAAATGCTGCGTCAGATTGCTTCTCCTTCCTCTCATTTATCAACTACACTTTAACAAAAAGGTCTGAAACTGTAGAGAACCTTTCTGTATTATGTTCAGATGACCAGTGAAGTCCATCAGTGCCACAAACAGGAAGTTGTTTGATCAGTCGCAGGTCACCATGGGGAGAATGTAACGGCCTGTTTTACTTCTGCGGGCTGAAGAAATCTGCTGCAGCTTTTCCAAAACGTTCTGTCTCTAATCTAAACTAAAGAACGGATCATTTCCTTTTGTGTTTTTTTTGTTTTTCTGGACCTGAAGCACCAATCAGTTGGACTTTGCTGCACCAAAGGTTTTCTTTATTACTTAACTATTACCACAGTTATTGATCACACATACCGGTACATGATGTTTGAACGGTTCTTCAGGGCTCCGATCGAGCAGCTTGTACAGTTTCTATCTCAGTCTTTTTTTTTTTTTACATTTTCTGAACAACAACAGTGGACATGAAGAGGTCAGAACTCTGCTGCAGTGTCGTCCTCTAATGTCCGTCTGATCTCTGGTATGTATAGACAGAAGGGCTGTCAGCGGTGAAGCGTTAACTACCAGGCGGCTCAGCTGACGAGTCAAAGGTCATATCGACCTGGTGGCTTCAAATGTTTCACTTTTTTTAACGTTCAATCATGCCGTTTTTTTTTTTACTGTAACATCCATGACAAGTTCCTTTTTCCCTGTTTAAGTTAATATCATAGCCTTCTATCTTTTATTATATTTCAAAATAAAATCAGGTTTAAATCCAAACAAAGAAGAAAAGTATCATTGACTTAAGACAGTAAAGAACTTCAAAATAAAAGCCTAACAAGAACTTGGATGGATTTAAACATGTGATTATTCCCCGATTACCTTTTTGAAAGATTCATAGAAAGAATTATCGTTTGACAGGTCGTTTTATATTTATTACTCTGCTTGTTTTCTAAGGACTTTCCATAAGTGAAAAAACACCTCAGACCAATGTTTTCAGAATTCTGGATCAGCCCTCGACTTAAGTAATCCAGTTTAAGGATCTTTATGTTTTTTTACACTTTATTTCTTTATGCACACTCAGACACGAACGCCTCCGCTGCAGGTTTCATCTCTGGTGCTAGAAGCCTCGCTGCTCCTTTTCTGACAGCGATCACAGACGCATTCTGACTTCATCAAAATCTGTCTCGGGATTTTTTCCTCCTCTTCTTCAGGAACAACAAGGCCCCGCCCCCTTTTAAGAGGCCACAACCGAAGGGGCAACATTTTTTTGATTTTGAAAGTTTGGCGATGCAAAACTCTCCGTTATCAGTCTCGGTCAACGTGTGGAAGTATCGTCTCTGTACAGGTTCAGTTGAGAAGTGAAGATCGCTTTGATTTTAGGTTCAGCACTCACCAACCAGCAAGTTTTCATGGAGTTTTTCTTTTTTTAACAAGAACACAATCTACAGAAATGGACTCTTCAGGTGCTTTGTAAAAAAACATGTCTGCCTTTATTTGAACTAAGGGCTGCAGTGAGTAATTATCTGTATAATCAATTAATCTGTTACACTTAGAAATGTTTATAAAATGTGTAAATAAGTCCCTTCAGATTCCCAGAGTCCTAAAGCATTGTCTTCATATCGCTTCTCTTTCTTCCCAAAAAATACAAATTCACCTTTCTTTACTGACCTAGAGGAAAAGAGAGGAGGCAGACCTGCACATTTCTGAAGCTGGAATGGACATAAACTTGATATTTTCATCTAGAAACTGACACCAACACGGCAAAATTCAACTCTGATCTGTTTATTAACTCAATAAGAATCTTTGACGACAAACATAAAGGTCTCTGGGAACCACTACTCTTCTATTTCTCTGCTTATTTACCTAATTGATTATTTGAGAAATGAGTCATGCAATTAAAAAAAAAGCTGCTTGTGCACGTTCAGAGGAGGCGGAGCCCGCAGCAGCACACACATCCAGGTGAAAACATCGACACAAGGTTGATTTTTTATTTTATTTTATAGATTTCTCTGCAGGTGTTTGGTTTATTTCTCCCTCTCATTTTGGTCTGCACCTCACGCTGTCAAAGTCAAACCCTGTGAAATGAAACCAGCGTATTGATTAGGATTGTCTGAAAACCTTGAGCACCACCTGGCAGGTTTAGTAGTTCAGTATTTCACACACCAAAGGGGATCGTTTCGTTGCAGATTTCTTTGACGCTTCTCGCCTCTCCGGTTTAGTTTTGTAAATAAGTTGTAAAGCTTTCACTGCCTGGACGGGATCTCAAGTTTCAGTGAGACCGAAAGCACAACATCCACATGCTGGGGTTTTAGTTTTTTCTTTGCTGCATGTTGCAAACTTCTTTTTGTTTGCAGTGAGATCCTGCAGCAGTCAGGAAGGACGTTCCTGCTGGGACTGATGCAGAAAGAATTAAGAAGTCCGATCTGAAGTGTTGGATTCATTTGTGACTCTTTTAAAGCTTTACATCAGTTTGAAGGATGTTGTTGTTTAGGACGTAGACAACGCAATGTTTCTCCTGATCTTTGTTTGATTTTATTCTTTCACACGAGACCAGCAGCATTTTGCACAAAATGGGAGGAGCCATGTCAGGAATACAGAAACTTTCTCTTCAACAATTTATGTAAAAAAAAAAACAGCTTTGATGAACGGGAACATTTTGAGTCGAGTCAAAATGGTTTTCTATTAAAAGATCAACTTTGTACCATTATCACTGACATGGTCTCTTTCTTTCTCTAGGAGTAGGCGCTAAAAGGAAAAAACATTTTGAGGGAAACCTCATCGTCTCTTAGATGATAAATTAAAATGAAAGGCAGGGTTGGTCATTTCCTCCAGATCCACTTTTTAAGATTTTGGTTGAAATTATCTTTAGGTTCTGACAGAAATTAATAACTCATGTTCTCTGAAAAAGGAATGAAGAGAATCTGTCACCTGTATCAGTTTGTAAGCCTGTAAAAACTTCGACCAATGTCTGCCACGAGGTACCAATCTGATGAACCAATCACAGCCTCCCTGCTCGCTCTCTACCCCTTCTCGCCCACACTCAAAGTGCAGCGTTGTAGCTCGCTGTGATCTGACCACTCCAACGAGGCTGAATTATGTCACAAACTGAGTTGAAAAAGGGAGCAGGTTACAAAAATTTTATTTTATTCACCAAAAAATGACAGAGGACAGAAGTGACATCAGATGCAGTTCATGAGTTTATCCAGCAGGGGTCACTGCACTGTTCAAACATTGAACACAGTTTTTGCTGTATTAAGTTTTCTCCCTCCTCTTTCTACCTGAAAAAAAACCTCAAGTCAAGTTGTGTACACTGGTTTGAGGAATTCTGTACCATGAACTGGACGGCTCCAGGGTCCCACTTAACCCCCCCTCCCCCCCCCCCACACACACACACACACCGACAAGATGCTGACCTCAGATCAGCTGGACAACAAGAAAAACATCTCTGGAGAAGGTTTTTTCAGAGAACTGGACAAAGAGGCGGCCGTGGCTCAGTTGGTAGCATTGGTCGTCTCTTAACTGGAAGGTTAGCAACATGTCTGCTGTTTCCTTGGGCAAGACACTTAACCCCAAGTTGCTCTTGCTGCTTCGGCAGCGGTGTGTGAATGTGTTTGAAGGGGTCACTTTAAATAGCAGCCTCTGCCTTCAGTGTGTGAATGTGGAAGTGTGACGAGCTGTGATTGGTCAGAAGACTAGAAAAGCGCTGCACAAGCTCAAGTCCATTTAACATTTACCAAGAGATGTTTGTTGGTTGAAATGTGGACGATGAAGCTTCTATGTTATCTCTGGACTATATTAAAGTGACTGAAGAACCCTAACCCTACCCTGAAAGCTTCCTGTGTTACCTAAAGTCTTTTTTTTTCTCATTTCAAAGTTTCACAAGTAAACAAACGTTTGTGTGCGGGAACCAGACGAATCTGCAAGCGCTTGTTTTTTTTTAAATCGTCTGCCAGCCTCGTCATTTTCAGACTGATTCTTATCCATCCTGAATCAGAAACTTAACGATAAACTAAATGTGATCATTTGAAGGTTATCTGAATCGCCAGCTTTACTTAAGCGATGCTCGTTCTCATCTTTGACACTTTATTGTAACGACACCACAGAAACCGTTAACGCTACACTCTTAATAATAACGTGACAAAATGAGGCTGAATCGTTCCTCACAGATTTATAAATAACCATCACTTCGACATTGAGCTAATGTCATCTCATACGTAAACTAAAAGTGGAAAATTGTGTGAATACTGTGAGGATGATCGTAGATGCAAAAGTGTAAATATCATTCAGAGTAACAGTTTGATTACTTTAAAGGCGACAGTTCAGCAAATAAAAAAAAACACTTTCTTCAGTTTCTCAACACTTTGAATGATTCTTTGAGTTTCTTTCCAAAGATAAAAGCTGATACGGATAGATTCCCGAGGAGCGAGGTCACAGGTTTCCTGGCACCTGTGATAAGATGTATTTACTCTTTGTGGAGTTCTCCGTGATAAAACAGAAACTTTACTGAAGCGTTTCACTAAAGCTGTTTTTGTTGTTTTTGCTGAACTGTCCCTTTAAGAAGACAAACACACGACGTGTTGTTGAGTGACTTTCACAGTAATTGGTTTCTCTGCAGGTTGATTCCTGGAGGAGGCAGCAGAAGATTGTGACACGGTCTGTCTTTGCATTTCTGCTGCTTCACTAACACATATCCATGATCCTGTGGCCTCTACCGGCTGTGTTTTTTATGACACTAACACATTGCATAGAGAGTCACAGCCACATCCACGTAACACAACAGACAATGAAAGCTGTAAACGATGGCTAACCGAGAAAGAAGGCCCCGAGAAGAATCCATTTAAGAGCGAATCAAACGTGATGACACAGATCAGTTCTACATTTCCTGAAGAGCTGGACGATTGTTGTTGGGTCGTACAGACTGTTGCTCTCTTACTGTCCTTCTGACAGAGTTTCATAAAGAGTCTCAAAATGTCAGGCTAGGGGGCGCCGGTGGCCTGGTCGGTGGTGTGCACGCCCCATTTACTGTAAACTGTGGTCCTCCATACAGATGGCCCCGGGTTCAGGTCTGACCTTTGACCCCTTTCCCACTTTTTCTCTCTCTCTCTCTGATTTCTGACTCTGTCTCGTATAAAGGCATAAAAAGCCAAAAAAATTAATCATGAAAAGAAAAATTAGTTATCAGCATGAATTGTCACATTTTCCCTCCAGAGAGGCTTCAGTCTTCTCTCCGTAAATGTATATAAACACAAGACAACAAGACAACAAGACAACAAGACAACGATTCTATTCTAGTAAAAACAGTATCAACACCTGTTACGATACCACAGGAACAAAAACAGAAGTCCTAGGAACTCATTATCTGCTCATTTCTTTTTTTATACGACCAAGAATTATCGGCATGCTTTGTACGTGTGTCCGTATATACGCTCGCTCGCTCGCTCTCTCTCTCTCTCTCTCTCTCTCTCTCTCTCTCTCTCTCTCTTCTCTCTCTCTTCTCTCTCTTCTCTCTCTCTCTTCTCTCTCTCTCTCTCTCTCTCTCTCTCTCTCTTCTCTCTCTCTCTCTCTCTCTTTTCGTACATGGCAGCTTTAACTGAACAGAGGGCGAAAGTTTCTGAACTTTTCCCTCCATCGATAATTAAAATGTCGGCAACCGTTTCATTTTTAAACACAAGGTATCGAAAAGTATTCAAAAGAATCGAATGTGAGATTTTGTTTGCAAATCCACCAGGAAGCAGAAAGAAGAAGTAGAAACCATGGCAACCACCCCGGGGGCTGAGTCCAACAGCTAACTGCAGAAGTTTATATTATTTCTGAGACGCCAACAATGACCCTCTTCCTGCTTCTTTTTTCTTCTGAGTTATGCATCTGATAATATTCTGTTGGATTTGATCTAAATAAAAATCTATTAATAACATCACTATCGAGCTCACACATCGAGGCAGCGGTAGACAAACAACTCCCGTGTTCTGTGGCGTAAAATCCCTTTTTTTTGTGAATGGGATTTGGCGGTTTTGAAAAGAGAAATGAAAACGTTGTTTCTGGTTAAGTTAAACATCTTCCTCTTTAAAAAAATCAAATCTTTCTTTGTAGTTTTCCTCGTTAATGAATCCTTTGAAGCAGCTTGAAGTTCACTGGTTGGATGAAAATCTCGGGATAAAAACAGACGTGTCCGGTTGTTTCCAGGTGTAAAAAGCAGAAACAGTAGAAGAAGAAAAACTGAGCCTCTGCAGGTGTCTTCAAGCTCCAGCGCTTTAAAAGGAGCCGCTCGCTGAGGCCGTTAAAACACGAGCACTTTCCAGCCGCAGCCGACGAAGGAGCAGCCGAAGTAGAGGCAGTCCACCGCCTGATCCACCAGCCAATCAAACACCACCTCCCTGTTCCCCGAGCCGATGGTCACCCTCAGCTTGAAGTGCCCGCCCTCGCTCGGGGTGTTGTTGTTGCTGATGGGGAACAGGTTGACCACCTCCATGTCGAAGGTAACAGCCGAGCCCACGGTGACGGCCGGCAGCTGATTGGTCATCTCTTTACCGTTGACGAAGACGGCGCCTGAACATCGACACACAAAACAGCAGCAGAGGAGGGAGTCAGGAAATGAATGTTTTTGTTCTAGTGCACCAAAAAAACTAAATCAACGGGGCGCCGGAACCCTAGTGGTTAGTGTGCGCGCCACATATACAGAGGCTTTAGTCCGCCAAGCGGGCGTTCCGGGTTTGAATCCGACCTGTGGCTCCTTTCCCTGCATGTCATTTCCCACTCTCTCTCTCTCTCTCTCTCTCACTCTGTCCTATCTCTAAATAAAGGTTACACTCGTGTCTGTGTCAGCGTACCATTGGTGGAAATGCAGACAGCCTGGTCCCTCTGAAGTGACTCCGCCCCCTTGCTGTCCACGCACACGCCCAGGCTGTCCCTCCGATCCGTGGGACCTGCTGCAGTGATCCTACAGAGAGAGAGAGAGAGAGAGAGAGAGAGACATTAAATACCTCTTTAGTAATCTACAATCAGTGTTCGGATGAAGCGTGTGTGCGTACTTGAAGGTCAGAGTCTGCCCGCAGAAGTAGGTGGGTGCGTTTGAGTAGAGGGCGGGGCAGCGTGACTGGGAGGAGTCATTCCTCAGAGCGATGTTTCTCCTGCTGCTCAGGATGTAGCCCTCGGTGCCCGGACACCACTCTGCATGACGACAGAACACACACACACACACACACACACACCGTGATTGACAGCTGTGTTGACAAATGAGGCTCCTGCAGCTCTGTGTGCACCAGACTTCAAGAGTGGGCGGAGTCTTGTCCTACCGTGCGGTGTGAGCGTGGTGTAGCCGGTCTGTGGGATGCTCCAGGGGCTCCACTCGGTGCGACCCTCCCCGCGGGCGCAGACCCTGAACAGGTAATCCGTGTGAGGGTCCAGGTGGAGAACCAGGAACTCGCAGTCGCGACCGATGTAGGCGTCCTCGTACTGGCTCCCCCCGCTGCCCGACCGCCGGTACTGCAGCCGATAATCTGCAGCTGCAAAGTCCTCATCCACCTAGACACAAGAGGGGGTAATGATAAACTGTAAATCAAAACACACTAATTTGTCACAAGCGTTATTTAAGATATATACCCATAACTATGACATCATCACATCAGAGGATTCAATATCAAAAGTCGTAAAATGTAATCGATGTTTTTCCATCTAACCACTCAGAGCGTTCTTTCTCTGACCTTACACCAGCGGACCAAGATGCTGCCCGGTCTCTCCTGCAGCTCGTCGATCTGGGCGGGCGGGTGAGAGGAGACGGAGCCGTGGCGGGACACGCGCTCCCTCAGCAGCCCGAGCACAGAGTCGTCCAGCTGGGCGGAAACACACGGCACGTCCACCAACGCTGGAACCTCTGGAAGACTGGAACACACACACACTAACTGTTAGAAACATGCAAGTACTGAAAAGTACCTTTACAGGATACGTACAGACAGTCTCTGTCCTACCTGTCCAGCTGGATGTGCATCGCCTTTTTGGTGAAACTGCCCAGTTTGTCCTCCTTCTCCCCGAGACCACAACGCAGAGCTGCTTCTCCTGGAGGGACAGAAACAACAACATGTGTGACTATGGATCATGATTGTTTTTAGGGAGGGTGCTTTTTAACCACAAGTTATAAATTAAAGCGATTTTCATCCTCAGTTATTAGTCTTTTTAGCTCTTAGTTCAGAGAAAGTCTCAAATCTCAAGTTCAAAATGTGATCTTCTTACAAACACTGAGCCAATACCGCTCTGCTTTTGGCTGGGATGTAGTTTTCTTTCAAATAAATTCTAAAATGCTTTAAATGTTGCTCTTCTGGGACCGACCCTCTCTGAGCAGCTCGTCCGCCTGGCCCACCCCGTGCTCGATGAGGCTCTGGCAGTCGTCCAGCGGTTTGACGCTGTCCGCCTCGATGGTGTCCACCTCAGCCAGCAGGGCGTTCAGTCGCTCGGTCAAAAGCCGTCCTGCTGCCGCCTGCAGCTCCGTGAAGTGCCTCCGGAGCGTCTCCCTCGCCTGACCCGAGCTGCCCCGGACCTAGAAGTGAGGATGGAGGTAGGAAACTGAACTTAGCGGCTGGTATTTCAAATCATCGTTCTGCAACGATTTAGCAGTCAAGTATGTACAGGTGGATCCAAGACCATAAGGAATCATTTAAAGTTAGCAAGTTAGCAACAGAATCAGCAACAAACTGTTAACTAGAGGTCACAGTGTGTCTCGTTGATAAATGGTGAATGTAAACACATACAGAATAAACTTTCCAACAATGACATCGACCAGCGTCAAGGGACGCTCTATTTACATTTCAATCCAAACAGTTTTTTTCCTGTTATTTTTTTTTTTTTTTGTGTCTAGCTTCAACGTCCCGGAGATTTCTGCACATTTCTGCTTCAGCGACATGACATCTACCAAAAAGCAAATCAACAACAACATCTTAGATTCTTCCCTGCGAAGTTCAGGAAGCGCTGTGTGATATGTGTTTGATTCAAAGGAGGCAATTTAGTGCTTGTGTCCACTGACGAGGATTTTGTGCTGCCAGAACCTAATTTCAACACAAACCACTCCCAAAAAAAAATAAAAAAACATCCTCAAAGTCAGCTCTTTTTTCGTCTTTGTGCTCAAAGCGCTCTCAGTTGTAAACGGTTAAAATTTTGGAACAACACCGCACTCGTCAATGTCACTTCTTCCTCGTAACCTAGCAACAATGAGTACGGGTTTGAAGCCCTTGAAACTGAGGTCGGAGTCGCAGCCAGCTCAAGAGACACCATCACTGGACACTGACCCTCCAACTTCAATAACATCATTTTATTTTTTTGCTCAAATGAAGAAGTGAAGCTGTTGGAGAATATTTTAAGAGGCAGATTGATCCACATTTAGAGCTTCCAGTAGATCAGGATGTTGATACACTTCAAAAAATCTAACAATATCGAAACCTGATTTGATACGACAGCTAAAAAAAAAAAGAACTGCTCGGCATCCTGTTACGGAAATATTCTTTTCACTACCCAAACAGGCTCCTGCACAATGTCTACATTTCACAAGTTGGCAACTTGTTACAACATAGACAGTGCTCTCTTTTTTCACTTGCAGCAGCTTTTAGGTTTTAAATATGCTTGAGGGTCTGTATGTACCTTCTGATACTGCCAATAAGAGGATATCGTTTTTTTAACACATGGAATCAATATGGAAGTATCGAACGTTTTGAAATCCTCAAAACTACTCAGAGTGATTAAACTGCTCCTACCGAACACAAGCTAAAAGAAAAGTAACTTAAAGGAACCCTCTCTGCTTTTCCATCAGTGGTAGAAGTCATGTTTCAGTTCCTCTTTGCAGAACGCACGCACGCATGCACGCACGCACACACGCACGCACGCGCACACACACACACACACACACTTCACAATGAGTACAGAGTAAGGACGATAAAGAGATATCAGGAAACAGAAGGCTGATTGACAACTGATAAAGCGACGGCGGCATGACTATGAGAGTAAAAAAACACACCACAGTCGACCCCAGAATACACACTGGACTGTGTGTGTGTGTGTGTGTGTGTGTGTGTGTGTGTGTGTGTGTGTGTGTGTGTGTGTGTGTGTGTGTGTGTGGTGTGTGTGTGTGTGTGTGTGTGTGTGTGTGGAGCAGAAACAGGACGTTTTCCACCAGAGACACCCAGCGCATCACTTCCTGACGACTATCAGGGCGACACAGACGGCCGATGATCGATATTTTTGTGTCGGTGAGATAATAGTCGATCTAAACATATGAGCGGACATCATTCAAACGACGGTCAGACACGGGAGGAGCTGATCTGAGCGCAGGCCAATGTTTGTACCACCACTCCTCCGAAGACGAGATGCAGCAGTGATAGCATTGTCTGAGTTTTCAAACACACACACACACTCTGCTATCTCCTCTAATGTGTGTGTGAGTGTGTGTGTGAGTGTGTGTGTATCTGCGTGTGTGTGTGTTTCCTGTATTCCTTCAATCTGGTGCTGAGTCATCCCTGCTGTGGGAAAGAAGGGGGTTATGGGAAAGAAACCCCGGTAAAAACTCGATGCAGAGAGATAAAGTGTGATGGAGCAGCTGGGACTGGGTGGGGAGAGGAATGACTTACTCTGTGTGTGTGTGTGTGTGTGTGTGTGTGTGTGTGTGTGTGTGTGTGTGTGTGTGTGTGTGTGTGTGTGTGTGTGTTTAGACTCCTAGGAACATCCCTAATCACACGACATGAGCTGTATCGGAGCTGGATGGAGCAGGAGATAATAAGACATTAAATCTTCTCCCAAAAAAAATCTGCTTTCAAATATTTCCACTCGGAAATAATTCTGCTCTAAGAAGTCGACAGAAAGTTAGAAACATGCGTCTCAACATTTTAACTGATAAGTTGTAAGTCCGTCTGGTTATCAAACCTCACACATTTTTATTATAATCAATTCCAAAAAGATGGAATCTCATTTCCGGACAGATCCAGAATCTTTTTTTCTTCATGCTTTAATCATCAAATTTACTGATTTTAATGCTGTTTCTTTATTAATGGCATGTCATTTAAATTAAAGTCTTCAGGATTTCACATTTGAGTTGAACATGTTGGTTATATTTCTTGCATCATGGCGTCCTCAGTCCTCAAAGCAAAGTGCTGTTCATAATAACGATCTTGAGCACGTCTTTCATCGTTGGATCTAAATCTGATCTAACAATTCTTCTGCTCCGTCTCCTCTTTCACCCTCATCTCATCTCTCCTCTAACGCCTTCTGCCTGTTGATATTAGCAACAGGAAATAGCAGCATTGTTTACTGTGAGCAGCTGGAGGGGTAGATCTAGACAGCAGGAGGAAGGAAGAGATAGCAGACACAGAGATAGAGAGAGAGAGAGAGAGAGAGAGAGAGAGGGAGAGAATAGACTCCTGAGATTTTGTCGGGTCAGGGGTCAACACACTTCATACTGCCCCTGCTTGGTTAAATAAAGAGAGAGTGTGAATGTGAAGAGGTCGGAGAGATAGTCAAATAGTGCTGCTCTCGGTCCTGTTGGGTCCATTTCTTAAAACCTGTACGTGTGTAGAAGAGGTGGGCACACTGTGGTACCTGTTTGCGGGCCTGGTTGAGGCCATTCAGGCGCTGCTGGAGCTCACTGCGGTAGTTCTGGGCCGCCTCGATGCTTTCCTTCGCCTCCTGCAGCAACAAGTCCACCTCCACAGACATCCTCCCGCCTCCTGACGTCACACAAAGACGGATATTTAAAATGTAAAATCCACACAAGAGACAGAATGACCTCAGAACAAAACACAAAACCTGAAGAGAAAAGTATCAGAAAACACAATCTTTACAAACGGTGTAACCTTCAAACCGGAGACAAAATAACTCAAATGAAGAATCAGTTTCCTAGTCTCAGAGTGATCAATCTTAAAATTATGATTTAAATTATCTCGTCTCCCTTTGTTTAAAGAATTGTTATCTCTATGTTCATAATGACAAATATGCAAACAGTTTCAGTTAGAAGTGCTTTATTTATATTCAACCAAAACATGTCACAACATAAGCATTTTACTGGTTTTATAAGCAAAAATGAAAATTGGAATGCACAATGTTATCATCCACTCGATCGTAATCACAAAATCTGTTCAGATGTGTTTTATTTCCTAAAATTCTGACCAGGGACACAGACTGAAAATTAGCCAAAGCTAGAAGTCCTATGTACAGATTGCATTGGTTGCTTCTTAATAACATGCCATGCCTACATGTATTGTCCCTGACAGATAAATAAATAAATGCAGTATGAGTTTTTGACCACACTAGAGGTAAATTGGTACAATACTTTAAAGAGGCCCAACAGGATATGAGAATTTGTGATTGAATTATTCAATAATACCATGAGGACAGCTTTTGTGTCTTTCTGCTGTTTTCATGTTTTACACAAAACTTGTGTTCACGACATGTCTGACATGAAACCAATCATTCTGGGTGTAGCTGATGGATAGTTTGAGCTTCACCTGAGTGCATCAAAACAGTGTAAAAGCATCGCTTATACATGCATAAGGAAGAAATGGTAAATGAGCTTGAATAGTTAGTAAAAACTAATCCCATTCATACGCCACTGACAAAGCAGCGGGAGCAATTTGGGGTTAAGTGTCTTACCCGAGGACACATCGGACATGTAGCTGCAGGAGCTGGGGATCAAACCCCCCAAACTTCCAGTTGAGAGATAACTGACTCTTCCAACTGAGCCACAGCCGCCCTGAAAGCATCCTAATCTAGAATTTGTCGCCTGTAGCCTCTTTAATTAAAAACTGAACTGAGTCACACAGAGGGCAGAATTCAGGATTAGTTGAACCTTTGCTGAAGGAATCAAACAAGATGATTTGGTGAATACAATGTCTACAATCAAAATGAATGATGCATGGTGACACACGATAAAAAGTGTGCAGAGTTAGAAATCATAGTAAAGTGTGAGTGTTTTCTCCTGCAGAGGATGTGTAGCAAGAAACAACTTAAAAACCACTTCCTACCAGCCAGCAACCAGGCTACCATACTGCTAACAAAACGACTTTACTGTTGAGTAGCAGAGTTAGAATCAACTGATGCAGACCTTAAAATACACCGGCAGGTATCAGTTTAATAAGCTATTCCTGTGACGCCCTACTTTCATCAAAGGTCACTCAAATAAATAACGCTGATGCTGCTGTGCTGATGCTTTTGGTTATTTTGGCTGCGTGTTAAAGTCATTCAGCGTTTCAAAATAACTGATAAGCCAGAACAAACAAAGTTATATCAATACGTAGAGCTTATCTACAACATTAGACTGCGTTCAAAAGTTCAGTTCAGTTCACAACTTAAAATCTTTAACAATACGACTCAAAGACCTTTTTCAAGAACTGTGTTCATTAAGTGATAAAATCAGAGTACTTTCTTTGTGGTTTTAACTTTAAGCCAAAAACTCTAAAAAGTTTCTGCTCCATATCTCTTCATATTTAACTGCGAGGCATCAGTATAGATTCAGGGACTTTACAAAAAGATGCTGCAACAAATCTTCAGGTAGACTTCAAAGTCTTCCAAAAAAAATGAAGGCTTGTAAAAACACCTTCTTGACAAAGTTAAAACTTTAAAAAAGACAACAACCCAGAAGCCATTGAGGATCTGGATCTGGTGACTTGACCCTGCAGGTGTATCAAACACCTTCATATGAGATCAGTCTAATACCAAGCTGAGTCTCCGTCAGAGCTGAATGTTCAGTGTTGAAACAACCTGCCCCCCCCCCCCCTCTCTGCGGTAAAGCTACGCTTCCTTTACAGCTATAAGAGGAAGTCACCGACAGGCCTCATGCTTCTGACACTTACAGTTTACACAGTAATCAAAATGATGTGGACGCTCACGCTGCTACTATTATTTACCTTTTACTGAACGTTCATCTTGACTGACTGATTAGGAGGACAGATTCCTACATATGGGAACACGTGGAGGGGATAAATGGGAGTGCAGATCGTTTGCTTCATGGCTTAATTAAATAAATGATTTTCAAGATAGTCGCCGAGTCATTTTCTCTCACTAAGCTAACTGACAGATCAACCGTCTGTTTGAACGAAAGCCACAAAGGTCTGAGATGAGTTTCACGTTGAACAACTTTTTCAACAGGATAAAAATGTATGCAATGTTATGGAGAAACTTGAAACCTGAAATACACCCACCCACGCACAAACATGACCTGAATCGGGGACCTTCCGTTCCCGGCGGCCCGATACTGCCGCCCCAAATCTGATCTATCTTTGTGGTTATATGTTGATTATATTCAGTCTGAATAATAATGTAGGTGGGCTGAGGAAAATCTGTCTCTGGATTGAAGGCGAGCACAAGTCGCAAAACTTTAGACTGACAACGATAAATACAACTCCTGAATTCTTCACCACTGTAATCACAAAACAAACGCACTGATTGTTTGTTAAGATCCAGTGCATGCATTATGCACATATCAATGCAAAGACAATTATGCAGGCATGCATGCAGTGACATAAACAACATGCACACACAGATATGACTCCTCCCGCCTTCTTTCTCTCATTACTTTTTCTTTCTGCTAACAAACACTGCAGACATTAACACCCACCAACAACACAGATTTTTGCTCTAAAAAGGGGGGCGTTTGCCCTCTCTCTCTCTCTCTCTCTCTTTATCACTCTAATCCTGTGGTCTATAATCCCTCTTTCTCTCTCCAAAAAAAACTACTAAAGATTCAGAGTGAACGCCGGGCACTTAGCCCTGCAAGCCGATTTTCATAACACCGAAATCTCTGACAATATGGGTGAGGGTCAGGACTGAAACTGGACTGAAATAACTGTTCTGTTTTGTCTTGTGTGTTTTTTATGTTAAAATGTGCAGCCACGCATATTTATTCAGCAGCAGGGTTTCTGAAAATATTTAGGTCAACTTGCATGGTGGTGGGGATGTCCTACTTTCTTTCACACGTCTGTGACAATGTCAGAAAATATGTGCCTCGGAAAAAAATTAAAAAAATTCTCTGGCTGTTTTTGCAGAATTTAACATAATGAGTGGACAGAAACAAAAACCACAGTGCTAACTACATGTCAAATCAAGAAAACAGGTTAAAAAAACCACTGAATTAACTCGGTTTATTTTGTGTTAGGCTCTTGGATTCTTCCTCGTGTGGTTAAGTGTCATCTTTCCACAACTGTCATGTCTCAGGCAGGAGGTTCAAAGAGGCTGCAGGCATCTCCTTCAGGCATGCAACACATGTCCTGACTAACAGGAGAGTTATGAGAGGCTCTCAAGTGCAAAAGCACATTTCCATTATTATTAGAGCAGACAAGAAGAGGCAGCAGCAGGAGACACAAAAACATGTCTCAACTCGCTCAAGGCCACTTCCGTATTTTTGAGTTATTTTCATCATCTTAAACCTCCACCCACCATCACTGCACATGACTGATTAGTATGTAAAATACATAATTAAAAATACAAGATGCATTATTTATCAAGTTGTAGTGTATGGGATGCCAAAGCTACTCAAACTGTTTGATCTAGACTTCATCATCTAAATTAATCTGGTGTATGTGAGAACTTCTCCCAGACTCCATTCATAAATCTCGCATTTTCAAATTCACTTTACTTTTATCCACCCAAAACATCACATAATAATTAAATTAAGTACTTTTCCATAATGTGTCATGTATTTCAGTTAATTCGGTGTACAAGTTGCTTATATATAAATATTAATATGTATGAAATGTCATCATTTGCAGCGCTCCTTTTAGTGCAGTTCGGTTGATGATAATAACAGACGAACCAGCAAAGAAGTTGTCAATAACATCTTAAAACTGGACTGAAAAAGAGCTAAATGAATGTAAAGGGAGTTTGTGTTTTATAAAAAAGAGGTTTAAACTGTTTAAGGTACAATTAGCCAGCTTTATGAGGCGATGTAACTTCATGTTTGAGTAGTTTTTCGTTGCCTTATTTCAATGATAATACTGAAAGTTGGTGCTAGCTGGACAATGAAACCCGAATCAGGCTTGAAACAGCAAATATTTAAAAACTACTAAAAACACAATGACAGACTTGACTTGTCTAGCTTCTTCAGTTGAAAAAGCTTCCGAACGTACCTGTTTGAGTCTTATCTTGTGGCCATTTCTTCCCGAAAGTTATGAATCAGCTCGTCGCCCCTCCACCGCCACCGACAGATATGCTGAAGTTTTGCTCAAGTCCAAAAATGACACTTCCGAGGCTTCTGGCGAAGCAGCCAATCAGAAGCCAGATACGTTTGACGGACGAGGAAATTAGCCAATCGGCTTGATGCATTCTATATTCACCCTTCCCTAATCAAATGACACCTCAGATTATCTTATAATTGATGAAATCTGTCAAAATATTTTTATTTCTTTATATTTATATTGATTTATTTGTACATACAGTACAGTATTAATCAAAATCTGAACAGCACAAAGTAAACAAAACACATTTAAAGTCATGTTGTTATTTTATATGCAGTACCACGTAATTGGGGTTACATAATTTTAGGAAGATTATGTGACCTCGTGAGATTAATGCCGAATATAGAAATAATTCAAAGCCTAATTTATCCGACCGAATATCTCAGAGCTTATTTTGTTTTTATGTTAATCTTTAATATGTAAAATGCAGATTTCAAACTCGCAGAAAAGAGACATTAAATGCAACAACAAAAAAACAAGTTTGTTGTTTGAAAAACAAAACTATTCAGTTAGCAACCATAGATGATGGCATTACTATTCCAACACAATGATATAATACATCACAGTGAGACCAGTGAGTCAGTGTAATAAAACGTATGCTGAATCCGAGGTCTGACTGTATGAGGAGAGACGTCGCCCTCTACTGGCTGTAGAGGATACAGCATGACTCAGTGCAGAGTTAAAGGTTATCATTGCAAAAAAAGCATCAAAACTCAACTTTTTTAGAGACTGGATATAGTTTAGTTAATATTGATCTTTTATTTAATTCTAAATAATCTTAGTGTTTTATATATTGGATCTGGAAGTGTCATGCTTAGATGTGTGAATAAAAAGTTGTGATTAGATAGATAGATAGATAGATAGATAGATAGATAGATAGATAGATAGATAGATAGATAGATAGTTTATTGATCCCGAGGGAAATTCAAAGCATCCAGTAGCAGGTTACAAAGACATGACATGAAACATTTGTTACAAATTAACCACAAAACCGTGCAGGGATAATAAAAAAAAATACATGTGCAATTTAAACAAGAACTTATAAACAGTTGAGGAAAAAAATCTGTAATTAGATCTGAATATAAAAAATAAGAATAAAAAAGTGTTGACCTTCTGAAGTTGTGTTGTTTATATATGTACAGTAATTACATACTTTTTTACTTATTACTTTTCATATTAACGACCCTGTGTCTAAGCGAAGTTTGGATGTAGCTGTAATTTTGTTTATTAGTGGAAAATAGATCTTAAAACTCAAAATGGAATTACTTTATTCCACATTGGGGTGGGCTCTGAAATCCAAATGATACTACTAGAAACAGAGGACAGTTGTCCTCAGACGCACCTTTATGACCCCCTTTGATGATCGTTTCCCATTTTAGCACAAGTTAAAGAAAGGAGACTATTTAAAAAAAGGACAAAACGATTAATTAAACACTTTCTTCTTGCTAGATTTACACTCTGCATTATTCTTCTGACATTTCATATCGAAGAACGTCATTACTGTGACGCGTAACTTGAATAGCAGTGACCACGGGCATTACCAAGTAGTTTGTGCACGGCTGATCTCACACTGCGTGGACCGGCTGAACTCGCCTCGTGCCCGAGCTCTGCACACCAAACTACAACTGTTTATATCCGTGACGCAGTGAGACGTGAATCTACGTGTGATGCAGCCTGCACGCACACGCACAATCCCTCAGATTAGCGCCTGACCCGCAGGATTTGTTGTAGAGGCACCTGATTCACCGGGATTGACGAGCCGAGGCAGAGCGGGGAGAGTAATCTACACTTATATTCATATTATACTGCAGCATTTTCCACGCGACTCCTGTTGATTGGATACATTTTTACGCATGGAGAACTCCAAGAAGCAAGACTTCAGAGAAACAGTGTCCAAGTGACCACAGCGGTGCCATGGCAGTTTTTACGCACAGCGCAAAGCTGCCAGTCGGAGTGTTTGATAAACTTTTCGGTGGAGTTAACATTTCTCAGTGAACACCTGAGGTCTGATAATGTGTGGTATTCATACTGCCGGTCGAAACGTCTAATCCCTGCCTGATTACCGCTCACAGATGGATTGCTTCCTGTCGAACAGCCTGCTGACATCAGGGCCTAGTCATATTAATTTAACCGCTATGCTCGCGTCTTGATTACATAATTGAGGCCGTTTAGGGCAGCCCAGCATCACTTTGTAAGACCCCATCGTCTCCCCCCCTATTGGTGCCAACATGAGGAGAGCTGTACTGAAGGAAGCAGCCAAACGCTTTCCCTGGCTGGCCAATGTCACTCTGTACGGGGGCTTATTCGCCGGCGGTGACCTTGTGCATCAGCTCATGGCTCAGAAGGAGCACATGGACTGGAGACATACTCGCAACGTGGCCATTGTGGCAATCAGTTTCCATGGAAACTTTAATTACTTCTGGCTGCGAGCTCTGGAGAGGCGCTTCCCTGGGAAGTCAGCAGGGATGGTTTTCAGAAAACTGCTGCTGGACCAGAGCTTCGCGTCGCCTTTGGCCACCAGTGTCTTCTACACAGGTAAGTGAATGCAAACACAATGTAAAGAACAAAACCATTTAGATTTGGTTTCTGCAATTGGCCCTTGTCATAAGATGTTTTCGGTATGGTATGAAGATCAAAAACCATGCAGAGAATACAATCTAATCCAAATACATCAGATTAGCTGTAGCAGTAATACATTTTGAAAGTCACCAGAACCTTCTGACCAAAATTAGTTTTATGTTTTAAGTATTTGGTCTCGTCCCTAAAACTGAGTCCTAAATCGTCAGGGCTCATGGCTACCTGGTTATAATCTTAAGTAAGGGTGGAAGACCCAAAAGTGAGCCGATGACATTTCCCATTAAGGTCTTCTGTCAATCAAATACCACGCGGGCCAAGGTGAAAAGTCATTACGCAACTTTTTCCCTGTGCGTAATGTCCGTGCGTAAAATGTGCGTAAATCCCTCCTTTGTCCTGCAGGGGTGAGCTTCCTGGAGGGGAAGGAGGACATCTTTGAAGACTGGAGGGAGAAGTTCTTCAACACCTGGAAGGTAAGGAAGGAAGGAGGGAAGGGAGGAAGGCATCTGAAGCAAAGAAAAGTCACCTTCTCTTGACACTCTGCCACAAGCTCACTAACAGATTAACCTAGTTTGTGCCACTGGTGCTTTCTGCGGGGTGGGGTGATTTAATCGAGTCACTTTCAGAATATGTAGAAGCTGAAAACTTGCCAAATGTAAAACTATGTGTCATTCCAACATAAGTAGATATATAAGTCAGAAGTCTTATTTAGATAATGTATGAAATGACCCCAGATGTTTTGGGGGATTATCTGTTTACGCCTGATAGCATGTGTACATTTTTTACAAGGGCAGAGTTTTAGATCATTCAGAAATCCACTTGCTTGTACTCGGCATCCTGACGTCTTTCCACAATAGAGCAATAGCTTTTTTGGCCAATAACAAACCGATATGTAGACACATTTGACAGAGAGGACAGTAATTCATTTGTCAGTCAAATGTAAAAACAGAAAAATGTCAACAAAGCAGCTGTGAGTAATTTTTCGTCTTGTTTTTTAATACGCCATCTGACCTAAACCATAAAGGACTTCTCTGCGTAAATAATCTAGATTTGCCTCTCTTGTTCTTGAAGGTGTTCTGTATCTCATCTGATCTTATTTTCACTTTCAGACTGGACTCATGTACTGGCCGTTCATGCAGGTAAACAGAAGGGAAATGTTCTGTTTTGTGCACATTAACACCTCGCTTTTGATTCTGGTTGAAGTAAAAATAGAAGAGAGACATCAATCAGATATTTTAACTTTAATCAAACACATTCTTTTCTCTGAATAATATCATGTTGATGTTAAATACCTTAAGTTTTCCATTTTATTCAAACAGTAAGTAAGTGTAGGCTAACTGTGAGGATGAGAACATGAAGCTTCAAACCAAATGAAAGAAAAAACTATTTTAATAGAAAGACAAATCTGATTAAAAATGTCAATATGTGTAACATTCTGTTTGTCTCCACAGTTTCTGAACTTCGTCCTGATGCCGCTGTACATGCGGACGGCGTTCATGGGCTGCTGCGCCTTCCTCTGGGCCACCTTCCTTTGCTTCTCTCGGCAGGATGGCGATGGCACCGCCGGCGTCGCTCTGGCCTTCGCATTGGACCCCCGGAAGACCCTGGAGGAGATACGCGAAGCCAGGCTGGCCCGGAAAAAGCAGAGGAAGGAGAGGGAAAACTGAAAAGAGGAGGACAGCACTTCTGTTTTTCAGGCCTTTGAGTATCTGTTGCAGTGGTGTCCACTTTATAGCTGAACCAGCACCTTTTAACTTGAATTCATGGAGAGATTAAGGGCTGAGGAGGAGATCAACATCTGTAACGTATGCACAAAACAGTTGACTTTAATGGAACCCAAAAGATGCAACAGAACAACGACACTGAAGTCAAAGTTTCTTGTGTTTAAAACAACACATAGACAAACACTGGCTGAAGGCTTCTTCATAGCCCAGGTGTTGGATGAAATTACTCAATTCTCTTTCAGACGCTGCACAGGAAAAAAAGGTTACAAAGTCATTTTAAACACAAGGGTTCATCTTAAGAGGAAATGTGGCATCTTCACTACAGATTTCAACCATAAAATATTTTGAATATTCTGATTGATGAAGACCAGAAACTCTGATCAATGAACCCTCGCAGCAAGGGTCAATGGTTTAAGTGGGATTGATAAATAGGATGTAAGGTGTACGTGCACAAGACAGGCAAATCGGCTGCAGTGATGTAAAAATGAACTTACCTCTGAACTACAAAAGGGGTTGGTTGAAATCTTTTAAATCTAATAGACTTCTTCCTTTAAAGGCTCTCTCTGTTCTGCTGGTGATGCTGCTTTGACGTGTAGTGAAGCTCCTGAGATCAGATTTAAGGGCTCAATATTTCTGATTTCTACCAGCTGTGCCTTCGCTCTGAGACAAGATTGTCCTAAAGAGGCATCTGATTGACAAGACAGCTCCTTGATAGTCACCAAAACAAGTTGTGTATATGTTGTTTTTGTGTGTGTACCACTTTAAATGAGGTTTCTCGTCTATTTTGGGGTGCACTGGTGTATCAGGCTGATTGCACAGAGCGAAAAAGTCTTTAACAGGTGATTTCTAAAAGCTTGTTTTTAAATATCTCCACTACAGCATATTTAATCATAGACATCGGTCATTTATTTAAAGATACAGTAACATTGACCCAGAGTGTTGTTCAATAAGGAGAGTTAACATTAATGTGGTGCTATAATGAATTAGAAGTCAATTGTTTATTTTCAGTATTTTCCCTTGATATCTAAAAATCCAACGTTAAGAGAAAAACCAACAATGTGTAAGAAGATGCTCAAAGACATCGAGTCATATTTCATGAACCTTTATGAGAAAGGCTTTAGTTTGAAGTTAAAGTTACTTTTCAAAGATGGCACTTTTTGCCATTTGAAGAGCGACAGGAAATGTTGGGAGGAGGAGAGAGAGTGGGGGATGACATGCAGCAAAGGTCAGAGGTCGGATTCAAACCCAATGTGGCAGATGCTGTACATTTGGGGTGCAACATAACCGCTAGCCTATATGACACTCGATAAAAGTTACTCTTATGGTCAACAATAATCCATTTGTTTGGGATTATCTACAACAGCGGATTAATCAACAATACAGTATGTATATGTGTGTGTGTGTGTGTGTGTGTGTGTGTGTGTGTGTGTGTGTGAATGGTAATCCTTTGTTTGATGTTAATCTCTGTTTCTATATCTCTGTGATTTGTTCTTTTTATGTGTAACTTTTTCACACTGCTGTCTTGACCAGGCCTCTTCCTGATTTAGTATCTCAACAGGAATACTAAATATTCAAATGAGACAAATGAGGGCGCCGGTAGCCTAGTGGTTGGTGTGCTCACCACATGTACGGAGGCTTTAATCCTTCAAGAAGAAACCTGGGTTTGGATCCAACCTGTGGCTTTTTTCCTGCATGTCGTCTGCTCTCCCTCACTCTCTCCGGTTTCTGACTCTATCAACTATCCTGTCGCTAAAGAGAGGCAAAAAAAAAACAACTAAACCCTGAGAACATAAAAGAGAGAGGAATATGTCACCCTGTGTTAAACTGAAAGTAATCCAAATTTAAAGCTCCTGAGAGGAACTTTAGATATGTGTTTTTGGCATCCCCTGTGGACAAACCTTTTATATCTTTGCTCATCTTGTCCTGAACATGCACAAGTACTGTTTTTTAAAACAAAAAAATCGACCTGTGCTTTCTGTAAAGAGTCAAAGATATATCGCTCATTGAGAATCTTTTGGTGGAAAAAAGGTAAACAAAGGCGGTCTTGTTATCGTGCTGTTAATCCCCTCATCTGACACCTACCCTGTGGCAGCAGTATCAGTCAGTAAAATGACTACAAAGAAATAGTCTATCTTGTCACTGATTATATCGTTTGCTTTTGTAGCTCAAAAAGAGGTGTCAGGGTTTCAGTCTGTTTCATATCCAGCTAAAAACAATCCTCACAGGAGCTTTAAACGACAGAATAAAAAAGTCGATGCCATGACTCCCCAAACATTGAATTTTAGAGATTTATTGATTATAAGGAAAATACTGAAATATCATCAGACTTATGCTTTCACATATTTATGTTGCATAATCATCTTAGGCCTGAATCAAATTGTATAGTTTGACACATCAGAAATCCTGCTCTTAGGATATTTATCAGTGCATCCCACTCGTGTTGTGTGTCTCCTAGTTCGACCTGTGAAGCTGCAGTGTTTTGATTTTGTCCTTTTACTTGAATAAAAAAACATAGGTTGCCATCAGACCAGATACCTTATCATGTCACTTTCCTGAACTGGACCCATAACTTTCTCCTATTCAGAGTAAAATATTGATCTAGTTAACCTTCCTTCAACGGTAAATCGGTTTGGACACATCTCTTCTGTAGATACGTTTCCCCATGTACCAAACAAAAATAAAACCTCATATAATGCTCAGTTATGTTCTGAACTTTGTCCGAAAGTCTGTTTTGTGATATTTTGTCGATTGGTTTACAGCCAAACGGAGAAAATAAGCTATGATGTTGATTCACTCAGGCATCATCTTGTCTCTAATTTCTCCATATTTCTCCAAATGTTGAATTATCCCTTTGACCAAATTCCCTCAGAGGTTCAAGGACACATGTTTGTAATCTACTGAAAAGATTCATGTAGTCCAGATATGAAGCAAGGGCAGAGAGGATTGGAGTGGGTGTATAACAGCTTTATGCCCCAGTGATGGTGCGTGTGGATTAACCAGGATCAGATGGGACCGGTTAATCCCTCTGAAAAGGACAGACCTCTGACCCTCAACGACAGGAAGTGAAATTCCCCAATCAGAGGTAAGGATGCTGTCAGGTGTCTCCGCGCTCAGGCGTATGTTCAACACAAACTTCTTTACTTACAATCAGAGAAATAACAAAGATACTTCATGTCACCAGCGAGATGCAGAACATGAAGCAGGTGCATTCACTGCCTTCTAGATATTTATTTATTGACTGTTCATTATACTTAAATTGCAATACTTGTTTTCGTATTTCTTTATACTTTTAACATAATTTATGTTAATTTCATGCACCAAAACAAGAAAATACGAAAAAGGGAAAAAGAAAATACAGACTATGAATTCAAAAAATTACCTCAAACAAGAACAAAAGAATTTGAAGATGGGACACCCTACAATCAAGAAGAGGTGGTAGAAATTGAGGACGACAAAGCATTTTCTCATGCTTCAACTTTTATGTTATTTTGAGGCTCAACCTAGAATCTGGACTCTGATAATATTGGGTTAGTTTATTATGCAGCACACATGTAGACAAATCTTTAACCATTGATTTAAAACTTTTAAATTGGGATATTTGTTTTTATCTTATCTCTAAGGTAATTTAACTAGTACACAGTTTTATCTTGCTTAAAAGCTGTTATCGTCCTCTTGTAATCCATCAAAACGTCTAGACTGCAGGCAGATCCCCCACCTCCGCTCAGACTCGTTTCTCTTCTCTGATTGGACAGTGAGTCCGATCCCGCCCATCAGTATTCGATTGACAGGCGACTGACAAATAGCAAAAGGTGACGAGGCTGTCATCTAACTTGTGATTGGTCGATGGCCCAGGACAATATGAATGGCAACATGTATTGTTCGACTTCTTCCCAAGACACTCGCAACTTTGTGCTTGTGAACTCCGGGTAAGTCTTCTTACACTTTTCTTGAATCGGTTTTAATTAATATTTAACCGACAAAACGTAGTCGGTAACACAACACGGGTAAATAAAGAGGACTTTCCCGTTAAAGTGGGCAACCCGGCGTCGAAAGGGAGCTAAACTGTTGAGCGTAAGTTTCCGTTGATGTCTCAGCTGGGATTTAAATGGTTAACGCTAAACTCCGTTAGCTAAACTAGCTCACTTATCTACATCTACAAGCTTTCTTTTAACTCTCTTCTCCTTTATCGTAAGTTCGTTTTGTGGCTATGAGCTTCCTGTAAGGTTTATAAAAGCAGGTGTTACTTGTGTTGAACCTCATTAAGCTAGAAATCAACCGTTATCTATTGTGTGTGTGTGTGTGTGTGTGACGTTTACTTTGGGTTCCCTTTTTACGTTCAGCTGGCTGCCACCGGACTCCGTTGAATTTCGGCAACTTTTTTATTCTATGTCTTGCTTAAACTACAATTAATTGAATTTGAGTAAATTAAGTTGATATAAATTACAAATAGAATATATTGGTTAATTCGGCATACATTCAGTATTTGTGGGAACATTATTTAAAGCATATTGGGGAGGAAATGTCCATCATTGCTCAGGAAGCATATCGTTAACACCATGGTGAGAGGTGACGACCAAATGTTTAAAAACTGAGATAAAGCTAAAACATTTGGCGTCGATGTTTCACTCATATGCCGAATTAAGTGTGAAGTCCTAATTAAGCTATTAAACATGTTTTTTTAATAATCACTAAGGCATTTAGTTTAATTGAGTTACAAGAAAGATAAATTGTCCTATTTTTTTTTTAACTGTATTCCGACTGACAGGAAGTTGTCTAACATATCATGTTTTGTTTGAATCACACAGACCAGTGTTGAGGTGTCACAGGAACAATCCGCTCTTCACCTGAGCTTTACCTGGCTGGAGATGGGGGATCCAGAGCCTCCCGAGTTTGAGTCCCTGGAAGAAGAGCTGGAGTACTGGAGGGAACAGGCTGCCAAGCACCAACAGAGGTGTGTGTCTCAGTCCCACGGTTAAAAGTTGTTTTTAACACACCGCAATCAATTTTCACTGCCTCCTGCATTTTCTTAATTCTCATCTGGTTTCACTTTGCACACGTAGTAACACAGGATTGTGTATTGACACTGTTAAACAAAATAAGAATACATGTCTTGGGTTAGTTTACCAGCAGTGATTAATTTTTGTTTCCCTCATTGCATAATCCAGGAATTTGGGCTTCTTTTATCTGCCCTTAATAATGGACAGCCACTTGTGTGAGCATGTTGTAGTGTTTTAGAAAATGCCTCTCCCACAGTTGAATCATGTGGTGTCTTAATAAATGGATATAAAGAGCCTCAGATTGAAAAAAAAAACAAAAAAAAAACCCTCGAGTCCCGACAATGACTGTTGGAAATGTTTATACAAGACTTGCTGAGTTTACAGACTTTTTGTTCTTTTACAAGAAAACAAACAAAATAAATGGTTGACTAAATGGTCTAAACCTTCTCAAAATGCATGCATTGCGTAATGATATTGCTCAGGTTGATATTTATAGGATTTGAAATTGCAATCACAAGTTGTTGTCCTAAACTAGGGCTAAACAAAGAAAGAAGGGTTCATGTTGTTTTGAAATTTGAGCTTAAGATGAAATTGGTAAAACTCCCCAGCTCAGGAAATTGAACCATCTGAGTAGCAAATTGATTTTAGGGCCTTAGAGAATCTAAAATATTTTTTTATTCCTGTTATGTAATTTGATATTTTGCTTGAATAAGGTAAAGTCTTGTACCAACAGGAATCTATCTTTCTGTACTTTGGGGGGATTTTTCATAATCGAGTCTGAAGAAAATAATTCTTCAGGTTTTTCCTGCCCTCCAGTTCAGTTGAAAGTAATAAAAGACTGTAGAGACTCCTGCAGGATAAATAATGTGAACCTCGATGTGTTTTCCGAACAAACACGTTTTTGTGATGTTTAGACTTTAGTGTTTAATTCATACGATCCTGAGCTTCCTCCAGTTTGGTGGGAAATGTTCGGAAATGGTTTTGAAAAATCTGAGACAGCATGTTATTGTTTTTCTCCAAACGTCGGTGTGATTACAGAAAATCCAAACTAATAAATCAAACAATTGGCAGTGATTGCTTCCAGACACAAAAAACATAGGCTTTATATTCTGTGTGTGTGTGGGTGTGTGCAGTGCAGAGGAAGCCCAGGAGGAGCTGCAGGAGTTTCAGCAGATGAGTCGGGATTATGAGGTGGAGCTGGAGACGGAGCTGAAACAATATGAGGCGCGAAACCGCGAGCTAATTGCCTCGAACAACCGCCTCTGCATGGAACTGGAAAACTACAAGGTACAGCGGAATTAATCAGTAATTAGATACAGGGGAACATTTTTTTAAATCCTGCATCCCCCACTTCCACAAATAACACCAAATCATTGCATGCCAAATGAATACTCCTGGAGGCTCCAGAGAATTTGCAGATAATAAATTTCGGATAGGGGTTGAACTTTCCCTCAGGTCCTTCAAGACAACACTCTGAAATAAAAAAAAAAAAAAAACATATTTAACTGCTGTGTGAGGCTGCTTTGTCCCACTGCACCTAAATAGATGTACAAGTTGTGTTATGTGTCCTCCTGACCGACGACCCTGGAGGCTTCGAGAAGTATCTGTAAAAGCAGCCAATGCCTCTAAATGTGTTTTTATGAGCAAACCCAGAGGCAAGCAGCTGCTATCAGGGTTACACGGTTATTTTAGATATCATTCAACCTACTTAAGGATGGTTGTGGGTATTTGACTGGGGATTTCCATATTATCCATCAGCTGATAAAAGCAGCGTTTTATGGTTCATGCTCGCTGTGCTGCATCGTTCTCTCATCCAGGCGCACACACATGAACACACAAACACTTTCGCTCTCACAGAGGATTGATTCAAGGCTCAGAGAGGCAGCTGATGACTGTCTGTATCTGGAGGGGATGGCAGTTCTACCATAAGAACTGTCCCATTTGTGTTTGCCCCCTTTTCTCCCCTTTTAAAAAAAAAAATGTGTTGGAATCAGAAATAATTAATTTGATTCTTTGGGAGAAAATGGGTCATGTTACAGTTGCTCAACCAAAGGCTAAAAATATGAGCATGGAGCAGCTGTTAGAAGTGGAAAATAGCAGTTTAAGAATTAATATCGTGGTTTAGAGCTGCAGTGTGTGGTTGTCACATTAGAAATTAATTAAATGATAAATTAACGGGAGGCAGGCAGCTAAAGATGTGTTCAAATCAAGCGTCTTCTGTACAAGTTGGTGCAGGATGAAGCTGAGGTCGTTAACCCGTATGTGTCACTGGCTCCACAAGCCAAAGAAGCACTCGTTTTTTTTTTTAACCTTCCACATTTTCTAGGGCTTTATTTATATCTTGATCTGACCTTTACGAGGAGAGAAAAAGTTATTTGCCCATTGTGTCTTTTGCTGCTTTAGGTATTTTGTTGTTTAGTTTCTGTTGAGCTTCAATGAACTCTGTAGAACTAGACCAGTATCATGCCATTGATTTATTTCCATATTTAGGTTGATTCAAACCAGTGTGTGCAATGTCCTGCTACTGATTTGCTCAATTAAACTGCTAAACTTCTTGATGTCATTTAACTTTTAATATTGTGTCTGTAGAATCCCGTTTGTACGGACAGTAATAATTATTATCCACGATGTTTTAATGCAGTCATGTTTACTAGTGAGTTCTAGAATCAGTATTACTAGTGGTCGAAATTGATCATTTCTGTGCATAGAAGTAAGGGAAATACTAAGAAAAATATCTAAATCTTAATTTTAAGTCATATTGCTAAGCCCCATTTTGGAGAGGTATTTAAGCGACCACACTTCAACCTTTGTCATGGAGATCAAACAGCGCTCAGTGAAAAAGTAAAACATCTGATTTATTGACGGTTTTAGGTTTATTTATTTATTTATTTGGGTTTTGTGACCATTCTGTCATCTTAACGCTCATGTTTTTAATAAGCTTCAGTTTAGATACATGTACACAGTCAGGAAGACGTATGAGGGTGTGGCTGAGACTGATGTGAAGTTCAGAAAGGTTTCCACTCACTTCCACAACAGCAACATGTTTCTATGTCAGACAGCATGTATGACCAGTATGCAGAGACTTTGAGGAATTCAACTGGAGCATGCTGAAGCTTGACACAGTGTCCTGTTGTCCGCTCCAGCAGGGAGTCAGCAGATGCAGGCTGGAGCCTCAGCAGAGAGAATTATTTTCCATTTCAGAGCGTTAATGTGAATAAATGTCCATCACTCAACATGTCGTGCAAATCAAGATCTTCAGCAACACGCCTGCAGGGACTCGGCACAGGGGTCGGCTTATGTCACTGAACCTTTGAAGGGGTTCTGTTTGTTTATCGTGTTCTTTCTTTCTGTGTGAAATGTCAAATGTTCTCTAAGCTTGTCCTTTAAAACACAAGATGACTGTTGCTTCGGCTCTTTATAGAGAAGTCAATGTCCGCTTTCACTGGATCGATACACTTCACTAACATGACATTTAAATGGTTCTGCTTTTAAATATCTCTTTGGAGTCATGCTTTTTAATTCGATTTCATGTTTATGGAGTCATATGTACCACTGAAGCTTCAGTGTCCACGACTTGGCAACCTGCATGCACATTGACTCTAGAGAGGAGGGGGAGGCGATGGGAGACAGCGCTCTACAATGTTTTGAATTTAAACTGCAGTACCCATTTTAAACACTAGATGTCAGAGTTGAATATTGCGCCTTTAAATATGCAGAAAAATGACAAATCAGTGTACAAGACAAATGTATACATCATGTATACTCTTTAATCCTACCATAACTGCCTTTGTTGTTCTGTCTCCTCCTGACTCTGCGGGTTTTGTCCTCCTGCAGGAGAAGTACGAGACGCAGCACTCGGAGGCCTACAGGCAGATCTCCACCCTGGAGGGAGACCTCTCAGAGACCACGGCCGTCAGAGACCAGCTTCACAAATACATCAGAGAGCTGGAGCAGGCCAACGACGACCTGGAGAGGACCAAGAGGTCAGAAACACAAAGAAAACATCTGATTGTATAATATATGACTCATCATAATACTGAAGACGTTAGAGCAGGGTTCAGAATCTGTTTGAAACAAATGTAGCTATGTTTACAAACAGGATGTAAGAGAAGGGAAGTTTAAATATACTAAACAGCTTGAAGGGTTCTTTTGTGTTTCTAAAATACTTGGATGAATGAAACTCCAGAAAAAGCAGGGACAGGAGGAGAGAGTCTGCTATCTTTGTGGCAACCTCATGTGAGGTATAGTTCCCCGAAAGCTTCACTAACAGCCTTTCTTTCACCGTGTCTGTGTTTCAGGGCGACCATCATGTCCCTGGAGGACTTTGAGCAGAGGATGAACCAGGTCATAGAGAGGAACGCCTTCCTGGAGAGCGAGCTGGACGAGAAGGAGAACCTCCTGGAGTCTGTGCAGAGGCTCAAGGACGAGGCCAGAGGTACAACTTGTTTTTAAGGGCTTTAACTTTGTTGTGTGATGTAATGGTTCAAAGAGAGACAGCTCGTTCTTTCTCAGCTGGCTGAAGATTATAGTATGTAAATACGACTTCGTCAGATATTTCTGCGGTTAGCTCGATAAATGAATGCACCACTGTTGAGTCTGTCCTCACCGAGTTTCTGTCTTTGCATCTGTCATATTTTGAAGAGTGAAAGCCGCAGTTATTGCTGCTTGAGGGCTGGTATCATGAGCTTAAAGTCTTTGTTGGATGGCTCTAACTGGCAAATAATCATTTTGGTGTGCGTGTGCGTGTGTGTGTGTGTGTGTCAGACCTGAGACAGGAGCTGGCTGTGAAGCAGAAGCAGCAGGTTCAGGACAGAAAGCCGTCGCTCACAGGCGGTGCACTCAAAGAGCCTTCACCCTCCGCCTCCTCCGCGTCATCCTCGGCTGGTCTGCCCACCCCCCCTCTCACCCCTCCAGACAAAAGAACTGTGGACAAAACTGTGTCTTCGTCCTCTAACCAGCCCATCCCCACTGCAGCAACCACCATCGCTACGCCATCCAGACCTGCAGCCTCAGCAGAGGCCTTCTGCACCCCGCCGCCCTCCATCAGCAGAGGTCAGCTCCTCTGTGATGTTTTCTCTTTTACATTCAGTCTGGTTTATACTTCTCTGTTGAATAGCTTCACTGTAGTGACCTACGCTGTTGTTAGCATAACATACTTGTGCATTCTGAAAAACTTCAGCGTTGTGATTTCTATGCTAGTTTTATCGCCAGTTGTCGGTTCCCTCCACATTCTCTGTTTGTTTGTGTACAGGAAACCATGGCGACCGAAACAGAGCGTATAATGTTGGAGTTAGAGCCAAACAAATCAGTTGATCATACTGGCTTGGAGCTATTTTCCTTCTGAAGATTTTTGAAAATGGCGGCGTTACCTGAAATGTTGTGAATGCAGGAAATACAAACTACCCAGCAAATCAGTCACACGGCTTGTGGTTGTGTCGTCTCAGCCTTTATTTGATAGGACAGCGGATAGAGTAGGATATTGGGGAGAGAGTGGGGGGAAGGTTTGTTGCCGCCATACACGGGGCACAACAGTGTCAAAAAAAGTATTTTTAAAATGTTTTTATGTATCACAAAAACATGTAAATGTTTGTGAAGATTTGCTGATGTTGTTTGATGTTTTCTTGTTTGACGTCATCTTACATTTGAGTGTCTTTGTGTTGACGAGGTGATTTTTGTTTCAGCAGGTGAAGGCCTCTTAGGGACCCCTCTCACCACGTCGGCGAGGATCTCGGCTCTGAACATCGTCGGAGAGCTGCTGAGAAAAGTCGGGGTAAGTACCAATAATGTAAAACCGATGTATAGGATGCAGCCAACCTTTTAAATGAAAAAATAGGTATTAAAAGTGTGCCTTATAAAACAGATTTTACCACTACAGTGCAACCTTAGACACCCAACAAGAGCTGCATAACGCCAATGCTTTGCAGAAACTTTTTTTTCCTCAACCAATCAAGTGAAATTGGATATTTTCCCATGGCTGACGTCTGACACCCTCTCACATCTAAAGACAGTTTGTCAGCAGCTCACAGAGTTTTTAGTCACTGACGGAGATTTAGCAAAGACCGGGGATCATGCAGGGTCACTAACTTCAAGACTACAGCTGGATTCCTTATAATAATTTCCCATCATGCACCTGGTGGACATTTACAACTGCAACTTTTGTGCAGAAAACTGAAAAGGAGGAGGGAATAAGAAAGCGTCTTTGACATTTCCCCCTCTTTGTTCCACGATAGAGGAGAGGAGAAACAGGTGGACAGAAAGTGCTGCTGCCCGCGAAATCCAGAAACGTATGGTTCAGGTCATTTCCCTGGTAACGCTTCCTTTGCCTCCCCGCCATGTTTACTAGTTTGCAGCTTCCTGAGAAATACTGCCCTAAAAACAGCTCGGATTGAGTTTTATGATCACCTTACACCACTCGATCGAGATCACAGGAACGCACCCCGACTCCAGCAAAACTCTGCAGATTTTATTCCCACTTTGGACATTTGTGTGTGACCTTAAAATCCCTTTTAAGTGTTTTTAGGTGCAAGACCAGCATTACACTCGTTAAACAGAAACGAAGTCATGCCTGATGATTTGACCTCCTGGGTTTTCATCAGCTGCCGACTCGCATCATGAGTGGCTGCAGGGGGGGCTTCACTCTGCTTCTCCTCTTTGAAGAGCATGAAGTGTTCCTGCTCGGGAGCATCAGGGTTCATTTATTTTATATTTATCTGAAAAGTAGCATCAAAGAAAAGTTCATAAATAGTTGTTCTACATAAACGTGTACATTCCTTCCTCAGCGTTTGACACTTGAGACTGAGAATGTGTCTGTGCTCAGACTTCAGAGTCAGGAGACATTCACTGAGGATTGCATATTTAAGGTCATCAATGCTAGCAGACAAAATCAAATGAATATATGTCTCTGTTTTCTCGTAGAACTTGGAGTCAAAGCTGGCATCCTGTCGGGAATACGTCAACGAGCAGACGACTAACCGCAGAGGACACGCTGGGGGACAGGGGGCGCCGTCGGGCCAGAACACCTTGTCAGAGACGCATCCTACAAACGGCCTCTACAACAAGGGGTGAGGGCTCAGTCCTGCACTGCTGGACCTGCTGGATATTAACTTGTAAAGGATGAAAATGTCTTGTGGGGAAAATTAGCTCAATTAAGATAAAAATTTTATTTCTGCTCTTCTTCTGGATTGTTCCAAACACGTCTATTTCTAGCGATGTTTGACGTTTTTTGAGCACACCAGTGTGTCTCAAAGTTGGACTGATTGGTTGAAGCAGGAGCCGCTGATGCACACGAGCCCTCTGAGTGTGTTCTTTGTGTTTTTAAAGGCTGGTGAAGAGGTTAGACTTCGGAGCGGGATCCAAACTGCTGCTGTGAAAAGTGGAAAAAAAGAAAAGAAAAACATCCTAAACCTCCATCCTGAATCCTCGATTGCACGCTGTCCAATCCCCTGCCTGGATCTCCTTTACGTGTGACGGTACAGTGTGTGTGTTTGCACATCAAACAGGCAGCTCTCACTGCGAGCTGCAGTGATGAAACTGATGGAAACGTTACTGAGAAGACTTCGGGGATGTCTGATTCAAGCACAGAGTTTTTGAATGATTTTTAAAAAAAAAAGACTTCTTTCAGCACTCGCACTTAGCTTGAACTAACCTTCTGGACTTGTGCTCTTTGTCACCACCGCGCCTGCTTTGTTTGATGTTTTTTGTGTGTGTGTTGTTGCTCTAACGGTGGGTTAAGACTAAATTTGAAGCACATTTTATCGATTTAACGACAACACAAAGAGTGAAGGAAAAGACTTGACGACTTGATGTGCATGTGTTGCTTTTGTAACAGCATGAGAGAGAGAAACTACAAACATGGGTTACACAGCTTTCCACTGCGGAAGACTTAGAAGTCCTCAGTGTTGAGCTGTCAATTTAAAACTCTTCTTCTCGTCTGTGTTGTCATCCAAACTGCTCTGCGAGTAGCGTCATGAGTTCTGCTGCTCTTTGACTCTTTGCGATCTTTAAACACAACTGAAGGTGACGTCTTACAGCCGGAGAGAAGAGGGAACATTTAGATAAAGATATTAAAAAAAACAAAAAACTTTTTAATCTGTTTGGTAAACACTTTCTTCATGAAACTTTGAGCGTCTCCTTTTACACAGTTCTTCTCCTGTCAACTCAAGTTTGTCAAACGAGGTGCAGAAACAGGCCGAATCTTATGAAACAAAATGCTGATTATCACTTTTAGGATAAATTAACTGACGGTTGAAACAAATGAATTTGTTCTGTTATTATAAATGATTACAGATAAATTAGACGACTTGGCACTGACTGCAGATAAACATGGACATGGTAACTGATTTGCTCTCAGTAATGATCTAAAACCAGCTTAGAGCCACAAACAAGCTGAGCAGCTGCGACCTGCCGAGTCTGCTGACGTGTTGCAGAAACACAATTTGTTTTTCTCCTTTGCGTCTCTAATGAAGAAGCTAAAGATGGCAGAAATTAAAACCTCCACGGTGGCTGCACAGCACAACTAAATGAGAAGAGAAGTGTTCAAGTCATCACTTTGTATTCAGGTACTGCATCGTTGCACAGACTAGTTTACTCGCCGCTGCATTTCTGATGGTATTTAGTTACATTATTTGATTCTAGTTTCTAGAAACGATGACCCGGAGGAACCTTTGAATCTCTTAGGAAGTAGCTCCTGGGACTTCAAGTTGTTTTTATTTTAGGTGGAAACAAAGCGATAACCTCTGAAGCCAATGCTGAAGGGTAAAATCCTGCAGTTTGTAGAGGGTCTGCTTGAGTCTGGCTCCAGGAAGTCACATACACACCACATTCAAAAGTCTGTTTTTACAGTAGTTTACAACCTGGTACAAAAAAATGATTGGTTTTTGTTCTCATGGACACACACTGTACGGGGGGTGATTTTTTGTATAAAGCATCCGATTTGATTTTATGAAGAAAACGTGTTATCCATAGTTAAGCACGTAGCTGGCATGATTGACAGGTGGGCGCGGTGTAACGGTTCATCAAGAGGGTTAAAACCTGCCTCAGCTCCAGCTCTCAGCCTGTCGTTAGGCTGAAACAGGATTTCCAACATAGCGGCTGCTGCTGATGAGCCTCCAGCGCCCCCTGCAGGAACAGATGGGTGACGTCACTCAGGCTTCAAACATGAATATTTACAGTCAGTGGTGGAAACGCAGCTTTTGCTCTTCTGTGTTTTTTGCAGGAGTGAAATTTAAAACTTCAGTGAAGGCTTCTCGTGTTTTATGTTAAAAAGGAAAAGTATGAAACAGAAGGATTTATGTGTTTGTGTAAAAAAAAAACTGTACCTGTATTGTAGGGTCGTTAACGTAGGAAGAGTCTGTAGGTCGTAATTATCTGCTCAGGGCGAGTTCAACACAGAAACAGGACGCAGGCGTGGGAACGAGCCGACGTGTTTTTGTTCGTTTTGCCTTCTGTGACTCTAAAGGAAGACTTGCATGCTCACACTCGAGGTATTACACATCTTTTAAAAAAACATTTTTTTTGTTGCTCTTTGTTTACTTTCAGTGTTGCTTGTGTGTCTGGAAAAGTAATAAAACTTGAATTTAAATCAGAAGTCTGGATTTGATTGTTTCAGGAGGAACTGAGGCGACACTGTTGAGGATTTAATATCTTTATTTAAAGGCACTCCTTCGGTTCACTAAGCAGGGTCATCACAGCAGTCCTTGTACTCACTTTAATTATTACAGAAGGATATATTATCGTGTATCTGTGAGGTTTTAAATCACACTGTCTAATCTGGAGAATGAATACACAACAGCTGGGGAACAAATACAGTTTTACATTCAGATTCCAAATACATTATCTCTAAAATATTCGTACACCCGGCCGACAGAGAAATGCAAAGAGGGTCAAAACAGTCTCAGTCTGTTCCTCTCAGGGACAAGAGATTGAATTTAAAAATGTTTAAACATTATTCAGACTTTTACTTGAATTAACTTCATCTTTATTAAGATGCAAATAAGTGAAATCTGCTGCAAAAAAACAAAAAATGTGTTTTAAATGTCCCACCAAAATAAGATATAAAGCACGTTCTTGTTTAGTTTTTGCTAATTGAATTAATATTTTTTACCACAATACATCGATTTATATCACTGTTTTTCTCTGATGTGAGCAAAGACTGAGAACATTTCACTCTGTTTTGAAAGAAAATAAAGATTTGACTTCATTAAGGGTGTATAAATGTGTTGAATTTAGTGCAACAGGTGGAATATTTTTGCACTCAGTTGCTAAGAAATGATTTTAAAGGGCAGTAAATCTAATCAGAGTCTTTCAAAGATCTCCGGGTGTTTGTTTTTTGATGTGAGCGCTGCGACTCGGCTGTAAGGACACCAAACTACAACAACAAAGATTTAAACTACCTGCAAGATAAATAAATGTCTATAAATAATCATAAATTATACGTCATATTAATCTCCAAACATTGACAGAACTTGACTTCGTCTCTTTGTGCTGTTGTGAGAACTGACCTCTGAAATGTTTTTACTGATGTTTTTCTTTAAAGGTCACATATCCTCCTCCTCTTCAACCAGTTTAAATAAGTCTCAGAGCTCCTTTAAAACATGTGTGTGAAGTTTCTTGTTCTAAATCCACTCTGATCCTGTATTTGATCATGTCTATAAACCTCTATTTCAGCCCTGCTCAGAACAGGCTGTTTCTGTGTCTGTAGCTTTAATATGCAAATGAGCTGTGTCTGACCACGCCCCCTCTCTGGAAGGGCTTGGGTGTCTCTTTCTTTCTCGCTCCATGTCCTATTGTTAACGGTGAGAAGGCAGACTCAGAGGCGGGACAAACACCTAGCTGTGGGAGTGTCACTCACCTGGGGGAGGGGCTACTGCCCTTTGTGATGTCATAAAGGGACAATCTCCAAATGGTTTCAGCACACATTATCTGAAAAGTGGAGCAGGGAAAAGACGGCGAGGATGGACTTTTCTCATCATCGGGGGGTTTGAAGACGGACTAGGGAGACATATTAGTGTAAACATGGTGAAGTGTATTTTACATCATACGTGACCTTTGAGAAAAACTTTCAGGAAAACAGTTCAAAGCTCCATTTTCTTATCATGATTTAATGAACACAACAGACACTAAAATTACCGACTGAAACTCTACAAAATCGAAGGGTAGTGAAGCGACTCTCGCAGTATTTCAACACCTGGATGGACTTTGGACTTTCCTTTTTGCAGATACTGAGCTGTGCCCCAACAGCCATTTTATTTTAACATTTTGTTTGAATATGAGAGTTAAAGGAGGGTTGGAGGTGTGTTGCTGGAGGAGAGCGGAGGCTTAAGTATGGAGGAGGTGTGGCCAAACAGCCTCTTCCATTGTTTTGGTTTCATGCTGGTGCTCAAGGCTGACATCTACTGGAACAAAAAGTAGCACATTCTTTAAACCTTTGTAACATTTGAGACTGAAATTGGATGGTTTTGTTTTTACTTCTTCTACATGTTTGTCTTTTTTTACTTCCTCCACTGTGGCTTTTGCATTATTTACTAAATACATACTTTGATATGAAACACACAAATAAATAACTTAACAAATGGTTTAATATTCCATGTTCTCCAGCAGTAATGACTCATCTGGACAGGAGAAGACTCTGTTGGAACCAGCAGATATTCATGATGTATTTGTGAAACATAGTTTTGGACTTTTCAGGGCTTAAATAATGTTAAGAAATAATGAAATGAACAATGTTTGTACGGTCAAAATTGTATTTTTATCTAAGTATTGGAGGGAGGTTGTTGAGTTTGTGATTTTAAAACATCAAATTGATCGTCTGAGCTGTTCCTTTTTAACCCCTGCTTGTTTACATTTTTGCTTTAAGGCACAACAACATGTTTTAATATCAGCTTTAGTCTAAAATGTGGTTTGTCGGAAAAAGAAACTTTAAAATTTAAAATAAAAGCATTCGGGAAAAGGCTCCGCCCACTTGACACAGCTGTGGTATAATCTTTAAGCTACTCGTCGGGGGGGTAGTCCTCCACCTGGTTCTCCAGAGGGGGGCTGCAGCCACGAGGAGACGGGGACCGCGGCTCCTCCTCCTGCAGCTCCACCGAGTTCTCCTTGATGGTGCTCCTCCTGCTGATGCTCCCTCCCAGCCCGAGGCTCCTCAGGCTGCTCCCGCCCACGCTGCTGCTCCGGGGGCTGGGGCTGCTGAACGACGAATCCCCGCCGCCCCCGCTGCTGCCACGCCTGGGAGAACACCCCGACACACCAGGAGGAAGAGAAAGAGAGGAGGAAGAGGAGGGTCAGAAAGGAGGTGCAGGACAGAGGAAGAACAGGGAGCAGCTTGTTGCAGAGCGAGGTTTTGATTTGAGATGAAGCGCCCTGAAAACGATGCAGCGGGTGTTTAACTGGAGAGATTAAAGGGACAGCGATGAAGAAATGAAAGTTTAAAAGAAGCTCGCTGAGGGAAGAGGAGGCTTTTTCCCAGAATGCTTTGAGGACAGTTTGCAGATCAGCGTCTGAGGAAAAGGTGTAAAGCAGGACATGAAAGGAGGAAGAGGAAATGTAAAATCACAAATCATCTAATGCCTTCACAGTTCATAGTAAAGTCAAATGTCTCCTTCAACTTTTGATTATTGTCTGTATTATTTTCATTCTTTATTATCCCATGTATTTCTCTTTGTTACCTCAGTTTGCTCTTGAGGGACGTTATCTCTCTGCTCATGGCGTCATTGGACTCGCTCGCCTCCTCCAGCTCCCTCTGCAGTTTCCTCCGGGAGGCGGCCATGCGCTGCGCCTCCTCCTCCGCCTCCTCCAGCTGGTGCTTCAGCTGCTTCACCCGCACGTTGCCCTTCTCGGCCTTGCACAGAACAAACCGATGGTTTTATAAACGGGTGTGTGACGGTGAATGTACTTTTGTTGTTTTTTGCACACATGCGTTACCTGGTCTTTGTACTGCTGCGCCTGCTTCCTCTCGTCCTCCACCTGGATACTCAAATCCTTCAGCTTCTTCTCCTTCTGACGTAGATTCTTGCCGTTTGCCTGGCGCTCTCTGCACAACATTATTTACCAAAAAAGTGGTCATTTACATTTTCCTGCGTCTTCTTGCAGTTTATTTTAATCCTTACCACCAGCATGCACGGTTGGTTACCTGCTCTCGATCTCCAGCTGCTCCTCCGCCTCTCTCAGCTTGGCCTCGAGGGCGGCGATGGAGGATTTGAGTTTGGAGCGGCCCTGGCCCTCCATCTCCTGCAGCTTGGCCTTCAGGTCTCGGTTTTGTCTCTCCAGCTGCTGCCGGGATCCCTCCTTACTCTGAGAGGCCGATCTCTCCGCGGTCAGCTCTGCACCCAGCTGCTCCACCTGCACGGAGACATCAACATTAAGAGGAAGGGATACAACTTGCATGGTTTTTTTTGCATGCAACAATACAACAATGGAGCTGTTATAAAGAGGAGGTAAGGCTTCGTTATTTATACTTTGTTGATTTGAGCTTTTGAAAAATCAAAAAGCTGCGAGTACAACCACTCAGAAATGTTGCTCCCCAGAATATCCTGTGCATTTGTTTTTTTGATATTTTCAGAGTAAAACAAGACAAAAAAAAGGAAAGAAAAGAAAAAAGGTAACATGGGCCCTACATAAGTCAAAATACACAAATCAGGGTTTTACATTCCGTACAGTACATATTCCATTTCTTCCAGACTTTTATGTATTGGTAAGATCTTGTGCATTTGGAAAGTAAATATGGGACTATTTGTGGGTAAACAAAGCCGTGTGTGCACTGCAGGAACTTTACCCAGGGTCTAGACTTTAGGAGGTACTGCCCTCACCCTGTAGATAGAAGGGATAGAAGGGTCAAAAACCTTCTTTAGGTTTCTGCTAGAGGGGTTTCTGAAAATTGAGCCTTTTGTCCCAGTAATATGAACCAGTTGTTTCCTGTCTTTCTGAAAAGTCTGTGTGGTTAAAAACAGGCTAATCGTGTAACAGCCCTGACCGGTCCTTGTTTAAACCCTCTGGTGAATTAAAGACCCTCTCT